AGGTTTAAAGTTCGACTGCTGGTTAAGTAAGTTACCCATGGAGAAGACGTTGGTCAGCGTGTCTTCGGTCCATGGAACACCTGGGGGCGGGGGCGGGCGGAGGGTGGGTTTAGGGTTTAGGGTTTGAGGGTACACTGGCTCTAATCTCAAAATGTCTTGCCAAAGAACCAGATCCCCGATTTCCGAACCACGCAACCCTGCATCCTACAGCGCCCTGAACTCGGGACCCTAAACCCTGAACAAAGGCCATAAACCCCAAGAAGAGGACAGACGGCGGGGCTATTCAGGGCGCACTTTTCCTTTTCGGTATGGAGGTGGGCCTTAAACCCTAAATAAGCCGTCCCTAAGCCTTCAAAACCCCGAACCCTAAAGCCCCTCTAAACCAAATCTAAAGCCTTGAAGCCTAAACCCTCTCAACCCTAAACCCTACGTGTAAAAAGCTTTCCGGAACAAATAGCCGCTAAGGCCCCCCCCCCCCCCCTAGTTGCTGAGTACCCTGGCCCCCAAGAAGGTCAGCCTTTGATTTCTGGTAGGATGGTACATACACCATCAGGGGTATCTACTCAGCTACTCAGCCCCCAAACCCTCCCAACCCTCCAAGCCCTACGCCCTAAGCCCCCTAAACCCTAAGCCCTAAGCCTTAAAGCCTAAGCCCTAAACCCTAAACCCTAAACCCTGAAGCCCCCCCCCCAAAAAAAAAAAAAAAAGCCGCCGGCGCCTAGAGCCTTCTCGCCGGCCCAGAGGTCGACCACCTTACGGCCTCGGTGGTAGACCTCGTGGTGAGGTTTAGGGTTTAGGGTTTAGGGTAGGGTCTAGGGTTTAGGGTTTAGGGTTTAGGGTTTAGGGTTTAGGGTTTAGGGTTTAGGGTTTAGGGTTCAGGGTTTAGGGTTTAGGGTTTAGGGTTTAGGGTTTAGGGTTTGGGGTTTGGGGTTTGGGGTTTAGGGGTTTAGGGGTTTAGGGGTTTAGGGGTTTAGGGGTTTTAGGCTTTAGGGGTTAGGGTGTGGGTTCTTTCGGGTTTAAGGTTTAGGGCTTGGGGTTCTTCGGGTTGAGGGTTTAGGGTTTGGGATGTTTAGGCTTTGGGGTTGGCGAGTTGGCGGTTAGGGGATTTGGGGTTTAGGGTTTAAGGCTTGGGGTTTAGGGTTTTGGGGCTGATGGTCTTCTTTTGAGGGCTTGCGATGCTCTTTGCTTCCCACACGAGGCTTCAGGGCATCCTCGGCTTTCTTTTTTCAGTTCTGTTAGGGTTTGGGTTTTCCAGGGTTTGGGGTTTTAAGGCTTTAGGGTTTGGGGCTTTTAGGGTTTAGAGTTTGGGGTTTTAAGGCTTAGGGTTTAGGGTCTTTAGGGTTTAGGCTCTGAGTATCGAAGCTGATGGAACTGAGGTCTTGGAGCTTTCTGCTGCCGACCTCCTCTTTCTTGGGGGGAGTTCCGGGTTCGGAGGAGGCCCCCCAAAATTCCCCAAAGCCCTCCTCACCCTGAGCCCTCTGGCATCCCAACCCTGAACATCCCTAAACCCTGGAACTAAAACCCCTGATTCTCCCCCTACACCTGAACCCTAACCTTAAACACTAAACCCTAAACCCTATACCCTAAACCCTAAATCCTAAGTAAGCAGCGGCGCGCAGACGGCGCCGCCGCGCTCACGGTTCTCCCGGAAGTTCGCAGCGAAGCTGGCGCGCACCGGCTCCCATTCCTTGGTGGTTTCCGGGGCTTTAAGGTTTTTTCCCTCCTGCACAGTAGGGTTTTAGGTATACGGTTTGGGGTTTGGGGTTTAGGGCATCGAGTTTACGTTTCTTGCCTTGAGGGTTCAGGGTTTTAGGGTTTTTTCGCGTTGAGGGCTTCGGGAGCTTTAAATTTCCGTGTTATTCCGAGCTTAGCTGCACTGCAGGGAGAAGTGGAGGTATGGCAAGGCTGGCACTACGCAGCCATTCAGCCAAGGAAGGGCAATTTTGCGACTCTACTCAGCCAGGTTTAGGGACTGAAAGTGCAGGAAACAAGTGAGGGCTTCAGAAAGAGCCTTTGGGAAACAGCTGTTCTCAACAAGGCTTAAGTTCCGGATCACAGTACCCCTCCACCTCCGGGCACTGTGACAGGCCCTCAGGGAAGTACCTGGGATAGATGTCGCGGGCATCCATGGCTGGCAAATGGACTTTGAGCCCAGCACAGCGCACAGGCAATGAGGAGTTTCACGAAGGTTGACTCAGCCTCTGCCTTCTCTTAGGTTGTTCCCACCCCCAAACCCATAAGCCGAGGTAGGGTTTAGAGTGTAAGGTTTGGGGATTTTGAGGGTCTAGGGCTTTTAGGGTTCAGGGGTTTAGTCCAGCCAGACTTGCAGCATCCCCAAAGGGGCGCGCGCGCGCGCCTCTGCTTGCGGGCCATGGCTGTTGGCGAGTGCAGGATTCCATGGTGCCGTGTCCTGGGCAGCTAAGCCGCACCATTGTTGGGGCACTTCTCAAACATGATACTTGTTGTTCCTTATTGGGTTTAAGTATTCATAAAACTAGAGAAGGATTTTCAACAATGACCCAGTATTGCCCAGGCCCCATCACAACCCCCGGTACCATGTTGCCCGCTTCTTGCCCCGGACGACCTGCCATAACCCCAAGACCCTAAAGCCCCAAACAGCCGAATTTTGCCAGGGGGGGATCCTGCCACTCCGTCGTCCTCCCTTTGAAGCCCTCGTAGCTCAAAAAGCCCCAAACCCCAAACCCCAAACCCCTAAACCCCTAAACCCCAAACCAAACCCTAAACACCCTTCCTGGCAGGGCCATGGGCTCCTGGGCAGAAAGCCCACTGGGGCCGCCACACGGTGCTGGAAGTGGTCAAGGAGGCCCGCATCACGCTGCAACTGCATTACTAAACCATCCCTGGTTCTAGTGTGGGGCGCCCCCGCCTCGTCACCAAGCCCCCCCCCAAAGCCCTAAACTCTAAACTCTAACACACCCCTCTCAAAAAGGACCACCCAAACACCCCCAACGGAGGTAAAGGGCGCAGGAACCCTCGACCCTAAACCGTTCTGGGATTGTCTGTTGCTTTTTAGGGTTGAAACCCTAAACTCTATGAGTTTCGGACTTGGGCCTCGGGACCCCAAAATGGTGCCTTGAGTGCATCCTGCGACGCCTTCTGAGCCAACATCTGCGCAGCCCAATCTGAGAATCTCAAAAGAACCCAAAACCCTAAACCCTAAACCCTTAAGCCCCAAAAGTCTCCAAGAGCTTGAGGCTCAGGTTCGGGCTTGGAGGGTCCGGGGGCTTCAGGGGTTTGTCTAGGATTTACAGGGGAGCCAGTTCAGGGTAGGTCCGTTCAGCTGGCCGCCCCAATGTTTGGGCTTGAGGGGCTTACAGGGGCTTGTGAAGGGGATGGTGCCTTATCTGGGATTATCTGGGTAAAAAAAGTGGGACCCAGCCTGTGGCAACTCCAGATTCGCGCGAGCTGGATTAGGGTTTAGGGTTTCTGCAAGGGCTCTCTGCAACGGCCCGAGGGTTTAGGGTTTAATTAGGGACCATGCTGACCATTTGAGAGAGATGCTACAGATAGATTGATGCGGCTGCGCAGCTGGGTTGGGTTTAGGGCTCCAGGGGTTGTAAGTTCCCTCCTGGGCATTCTGGTACGTTGTAGGGTTTAGGAATATTCAGGGTATTCAAACTCTTCGAGTTTCGGTTTAGGGTCTAGAGCAAGTTACACATCCTTCGCCCCGCAAGCTCTGAAACCTCCCCTGTTTTCCACTCGCTTCATGCGCTGCTTCGCGCGTCCTTCGCCGATTCCTGCACCCTGCCTTCTTCGAAGTTGCAGGGCACAGGCTGTCGAGGGTTCTAACATAAAAGAGGGTGTAGGGTTTAGGGGCCTACTTTTCGGGTTTAGGGGCCTACCTGTGGTGTTTTTTCTAGAGTCTAGGGCTGTTTTTGGGGCATGGGGGGCCTTCAGTAGAGCTGTGCACAGGTTGCCAGGGGACTTGTGGGGGGCTTGGGGGTCTGGGTCTTGGAGTTGTCGCTTTTAGGGTTTAGGGCTTGGCTTAGTGTGAGTTTTGGTTCTCGACAGAATGCGTAGAGCTCTCTAGTCTTAGGGGGAAGCTCCTTGTCTTTGATGAGCGTCACCTCTGGCCCAGGTAAAAAGCCCTTGCGGGTTTGGGGCTGTTGGGAGCCTAGGACAGGAGATTCGGGTTTATTGCGGTCACTACAAGATGCCACAAGGCACCACGTTGGCCTCTGCATGCGGTCGCCCCGAAACCCTTGTCGCCCGCCCCAAACATAAAGACACAGAACTCTGAACTTACTGGTTCGTTATGGGGCAGGAGGGAAATTGGTTGCCCTGAAGGTTTATGAAGAGGGGGTCTAAGTTTCCTGATACATTGCCCACTAAGAGCTAGTCACTTAACCCGTGCCTTTAGGTCACAAAAGCCGAAGAACCTTACATAGTATGGTGTGTGGGCCCAGAAATCCTGCCCAAAGCCTTGGCGTTACTTTCTTTAACGTCGGGAGCCACGTGACTGCAGAGACCCAGCGCGAGCCCGCGAATTTCAGGTGCCCCTGACTTTGAACCACCAAAGCCTGGCTTCAGATGACTCAAGATGTGCTCCTCTTCAAGGATGGCTGATGCGACACCCACTCTGCAAACCCGGTTGGGGGCTCAGGTTTTGGGGCTGTGGCGGCTGCTCTTCGTTTCCAGGTCCAGGACGCAAGGCAGTGGGACAGCGGTGCGCCCATTATGCTCCAACTCGTCTGAGAGAGGGCATGACGAGCCGACGCAGATTTGCTGGGGCTGGTGCCTATGGAGCCTCGCTGCCAGAATGCCCTGCTTCCTGTGCACAGTTAAAACTGAATAAGCAGGAACTCTCGCAAACCTGACCTCATCTTAATGCCGTTTCGATCTCAGGACGCAGAGAGAGTATTTCCCTCAACCTTGTGCGCACTCATCCGCGGGAGATAGAGAGAGATCAGTAGCTGTTATCAGATACTTCACTGTGCAAATCTCACACCATGGCTCTGAGGGTTACCGGTTCCTGCCCTTCACGGGTCGTTAACATCCTTCTCTGGCTCACTTGCGGCAGAGTCTTCGCCAGACGCAACCAACGCGCGGCCGAACCTGTCATTGGGTATTTGGGTGGGTTCTTGTGAAAGATCACAATAAAAAGTATCATAACACGGACGCTGTGTTGCTTGCAGCCCATGTTATGATCGCTTAGGTTAAGTTCCATGTCAAGAACCCTGTTGTGGGTTTTACGGCTCTTTTCGGTCTGCGGGGTTCAGGGTTTAAAATGCAGGATACAGCATGAGGCTTTGAGCAGAAACTCGAAGGCGAGTGTGGCATTCGCCTGAGGTCTGGCACGGCTTTTAGTCCCTACGTGAAGGCTCACGGGTAGTTCTTACATGCGTGGGGTTAGAAGGAGGGGAAATCCAGCAAGGTGCAGTTCAAGTCTTGTTGTACTATACAATGTCTTGTTGTTCTATACTTCTCGCCATGAATATTCAAGTAGACCCCACTTCGTATATCCTGAAACGTAATGTGATAACAACAATCATGTAGCAACATAATCATTTAGCAACACAATACTGTAAAAAAAACAATATAGTACGATGCTAGCTAGTCATACAGTCATGTGCCACTATACTTCGATGCTAGTAACTGAGATATTTGATTGCCGTCTTGATCCCTTGGGTGGCCGCCGAAGTCCTGGGACCCGGCGTGCGGTGATTTTAACTGAGATGCTTTAGCACCTAAACCCTAAACCCTAAACCCTGAACCCTAAACCCTAAACCCTAAACCCTAAACCCTAAACCCTAAACCCTATAGAGCTTAAACAGCATGTGGGCCTTTACAGGGTTTAGGGAACTTACCTGGTTTCTCCTAGCATGCTCCGGGCTTGAGCGGCGCAGCCTCCTGTGTGCTTATGAGACCTGACTCTGCACTTTGGGGATTCGGTTTAGGGTTTAGGGTTTAGGGTTTAGGGTTTAGGGTTTAGGGTTTAGGGTTTAGGGTTTAGGGTTTAGGGGTGTGATGCCGGAGAGCTTGGCCAGGAAGTCGTTCGACGTCTCCAGCCGGTGCAGGAAGAACTCCTCTCGAATGAAGGCGATGTATATTATTAATACTATGAATGCTATGAATATTGTTCATATTGCTAGTATATTTTCAGAAGGTTTTGAATGTTCTGAAACTTGTAGGACCCCAACTCCTCCACAGGGCCAAACATGGGCCTTTATGGCCCACAGTAGGCCGCCGATAGCCTCTTCTAGGCATTCTCTTTTTTGCGAGTTTTGAAGGGTTTGGGCGGTTCAACTCCATTGCCTGGACTACCGAAGTCTTGACTCCTCCGAAACATCCCGAAAAACCAGTACAATAAGGGCACCCTTTTTTTTGGGTTGGGTACTTTATCAGGAAACCCTGAACTTTAAATATCAAAGGGTATCACTGGGCCACCAAGACATGACGATCAACAACCCCCCAAGCCACCCTAAACAGCGCTAGCCACTAGCGGCATACGGGATCCGCCCACCCCGCCCCGGCCTGAGGGATGTTGCGCGTGAGGCAGCTCCGATCCTCGAGAATCTCTCCCCCACTGGCTTTTTGCCCAGGTCTTGTGGCTTTTGTCATTCTTGGAGCTTCGCTTCTGCTTCTGTATAGGATTCTCAAAGTCTTTCTCGACACTTTCCTCTACCAGGGAAGGGTTTCCTAGCTTCGACATCCGTGCGCAGGAGCGTTGGCAGCGGGGTGCGGCCGAGCAGCATGGAGCGTTCCTTTGCGCCAGCGGCGCAGCTTTCTCAGGAGGCACCTCCGCCAGGCATCCTGGTGTCACTAGGGTACAGGTGGATAGATCGGTGGCTACATGCATAAGGGGACAGTTCCAGCTGTGCTCACCCCTAAACCCTAAACCCTTTAAGCCAACCTAAAGCCTCTTTTTGCGAGGGAATCAGAAGGATAGCAGTAACCAACCCTATGAAACTCTACTTAAGGTCCTTGTACAACCCACTATTTTTGGTGCTACTTTCCGGTTCATGGGTACGTATAGCCTGTCTGCTCAGAACCCCACCTATGGGGACTTGGGGGGCTTATAAGTGCAGTCATAACTGGGGTTTTTAAGTACCTATGAACCTCCAAGTGGCCATGAACCTTCAAGACGCCCCCCTTGGAACCTCAAAATTCGGGTCCTCAGGGTCTTCGCCGGCTGCGCGGCTCTCGCGCAAGGCCAGCACCTGGTGTGGGAGTCAGGGACTGCGGGGTGCAGATTCCCAGAACCAAACGACGTCTGAATTCAAGGAATACTCCTTAGATGAGGGGTTCCAAAAAACATTTGGGTGTTCGCTGGGATTTTGGCGCCCGAACAAGAGGATACTTAGGAGAGAATGAAGGGTTTTTGTGGGGGGGGGGGAGGTGATGAAGAGACTAAGGAGTGCGGAAGAGTCTGGGATCCAGTATGATCCACTTGTGGGGCGTGGGCTTCATTCGCATCTCTTGGCTTGCGGAGGGACATGACGGTTGAGTTTCGATAGTGCGCCCAAGCCTGAAGGCTATGAATGAAGAGGTCGGAGACCTTAGCTCAGCCTTCACGCTATGCCTCAAAAATAAAATGAGTTAAGGGTCTAAGGAAATAGGAATACCATCATCCGCAGACATAAAACACTCACAATACTGCAAGACTGCAACAATGGTATCACCACGTTAAAGCCTTCAGACTCCGCCGGTGCCTTGACTTGCTGCTTGGTCAGCAGATCTCGCCGGACAGGGCATGTCCTAGATTCAGTGGCTTCAGGGGCCTTCAGAGGCCTTCAAAAACTCAGACAAAGGGGGCCTTTTGTGGGTTTAGGAACTCAGTGGCCGATTCGTCTCTAGGGGGGCTCGAGGGTGGGGGGGGCTTCTTGCATGCTAACTAGATGTGGGAGCACTGCGCTTGTATCGCAAGATCGTAGGGCCATCTCCACCCCGGGACATCCCCCAACACAGCCCAGCCCCACCCACTGTGCCACTCCCTCCAAGAAGTACAGTTTCTAAGCAGAACTCAGGGGAACACTACAGCAACCAAACAACTCGTATGAACTTCCCGTACGCGGCCCGGCTTTGTGCAAGACCCTAAACCTCAACAAGCAACCTTCCTGAAGGCCTCAACCCCCAACATTTCAAGGACAAGCAGCCCTCGGCACTTCGAACTCGTAAACCATGCCCCCCCCCCCCCCCGGCTTTTCACAGATCCACGACCTCTATGCCATGGAAGCGCGGGGAACTTACATCGCAGGGACTGTAGCGTACCGCATATGCCGGTTTCCTTCCTCCCAAATTCCCTCGGCGAGGGGCGTCTTCTCCAAGAAGCTTTCTCTGTGTCTCCCTCGCTTGTAGCTCACCTCGACCACCTCAATCAAGGCATGTCCCCCCAATGTCAGGGAAAAGGGATGAAGACATCGCTAAATCCTGAAGCCCTATGAACTCTATGAGAACCCTGAACCTTCAAGCTCAAAAGCACTGTGCTCGAAACGGAGTTCGCCCCCGCCCTACCCCCCCCCCCCCGCCTCCCCCCTCCGCCCCCTCCCCCGGCATCCTTCGAGAAATCCAAGTTCGAAACAACGACCGAGAAGCAACTTCCGAGAAGAAGGAGTTAGTATTCGCAGGGGTATCCCTAAACCCTAAACCCTAAATCCTAAAACCCTAACTCCTACACCCTTAACCCTACATTGGGGACCATCATTTTGAGAAGGCCCTCTTCACCTTTTGGGGCTTTTCGGGCAGGGCCTCCCGCCAGGGTCTGAAGTCCGGCCTCTGGGCCAGCAGCACCTGTCACTGGCAGGGGTTTGCGCGCCCCATCAAGAAGGGCTCAGCCTAGGGTTTAGGGTTTAGGGTTTAGGATTTAGGGTTTATAGGTTTAGGGTTTAGGGTTTAGGGTAAGCCCCATCAAGAAGGGCTCACCCTACAATACCTTGACATTGGGATGTTCCCCCTTATGCTAGCCGTCCTTAATCGGGATTCTAGCATGATCCCCATTAAGGACGGTTAGGAAAGGGGGCACATCCCGACCTTCAAATCCTAAACCTTCAACCTGGGATGTTCCTTCGGGTTTAGGGCCCCGTAAACGAGGACTGCGGAGACTGCATACCCCTCATGACAGATGGACCCGAGCCTGACACCACGTCGAAACCCCAAGCCATGACCCCCTAAACCCCCTCATTATCATAAGTCGGCACACGGATCAGATACCTCTGCCCCTGACACACGGTGAACATACCCATTGCAAACATGCCACACCTACTTCTGGACCACAGGACAGCACTTGCGGTTGCAGGAGGCGTTTTGGGTTTAGGGTTAGGGTTTAGGGTTTAGGGTTTAGGGTTTAGGGTTTAGGGTTTAGGGTTTAGGGTTTAGGGTTTAGGGTTTAGGGTTTAGGGTTTAGGGTTTAGGGTTTAGGGTTTAGGGTTTAGGGTTTCGGGTTTCGGGTTTCGGGTTTAAGGTAGTTTAGGGTAGTTTAGGGTTTAGGGCCCCATGAGTCGGCGCAAGGATCCTCGAGAGGTGCAGCCCGGCGCCTTCTCGGTGAGCAGCAAATCTCCATACCTAGGGCTTGGGGAACCCTAAACCCTAAACCCTAAATCCTAAACCCTAAACCCCAAACCCTCAACCCTCAACCCTAAACCCGCATCCTTGCCTGGGCACCGCGAGAGCCTCTGATGCGTCAGAAACCCAGAGAGCCCAATGCCTTTAGGACTCAACTGTGGCGCTGCGCTACGGTCCTCTAGGCTCACCACAAAGGCTACAATAAACAGGAAGCCTAATCACCTCCGACAACTCGCCACTCTTTGAGCCAAGGGACTTCGTCACGAAGCCGGCAGCCTTTTCGGGCTCCTTCAACAAAACAACGGGCGAAGGGGAAGTGGGTGCTAAGGGAGGGGTGGCAATTGAAGCTTCGAGCAGCTTCGCGCTTGTGCTTTCTCAGGGTGTATGTACCCTAAGCCCTAAACCCTAAACCCTAAACCCATTTAGGGGGCTTTGATTCACCACCCCCGAATTCCCTTAGGGTTCAGGCATTTCTTCTGAGACGATGAGAGGCGACCGTGTAGGTCTGTTTCCACACGATGTATTCTGAAGCCACGAACGTCGCTGTGCCGGAAGCTCCATGTGCAGCTGGCCGTGTTATGCTACTGTACTACGCTGCACTATACAAGTAGACTGTGTCACGTAGTACGTATCAAATCGAACCACTATGTTCTTGCAGCATAGTGTAGGCTAGTATATCTTCGGACTTCTGGACTTCTGATATCCTTGGTTCCTGCTAGGCCTCGCACAGCTCCTTAAACCCGAAACCTGCAATACTAAACCCGCACTAAACAGACAGACAAGCAGGCAGAAAGATAAGCAAAAACAAAAAAAGAGTCCAAGCAGACGCCAGACAAGGGAGAAGAATCTCCAGGGGCTCATTGGCAAGCATCAGTTAGCAGCCCTCGCTACAGGGGCCTGATGCTGCCGCAGGTAACCACCTTCTTGGGTAAGGACGAAAGGCAGACAGAGACTCCAAGAGCCCATGGGCAAGCAGAGCAGAGAGAAAGACAGAGTTGTTTGTGCAGTTGTGAACTAGGGGTTCTCATGTTGTCGAGTTGTAAAGTAGGGATTCTCATGTTGAACATGGCGTTCGTGGTTGTAAAGCGGGGGTTCCGGTTGTAAAGTGGGGATTCTGATTGTAAAGGGGGTTAATCTCCCCCCCAGCCCCCCCCCCCCCCAAAGAATCCCATATCCCAAAGTGCCGAAGCCCGTCAAGTGGCTTTAGAGTGGGGAATTTGCGTTGATACGATTATGAGACGTACTACTCATTGGCACTAGTATTCAGGTTGTTACTGCAAGCAGCGTTGCATAAGCATGCGCAGTCGGATGGGTATTCGTGTTCGTATTTCTACTGGGAACAGCAATAGTACCAGTATCAGCGGTCCAGGCGGTGCGTGAAGAAAGCCAGTGAGATCTTCTGCGCGCCCGGCCGCTTGGCACGGATATCTGAGACGCAAAGGGCTTTAGGGTTTGAGCGTCTAGCGCTGGGAGGTGTATTGGCTTCATCTTTTCCTGGATGTTACCCTTCTTCTTCGGCGCCGTCTTGGAAAGCTTGCATCGACGACAGAGCAAGAGCTTCAATGTCTTTTCTTCAGGGTGTTCCACAGCAGACGTAGGGAATGTCGAGGAGTCCGCATCGACAGCGGCTCTTGAACATTTCCTGCTGCAATCCCATCTTCAGACAAGGCTCCAAACAGCTGCTGCCAGGTCTTTCGCTTTGCGGCACGCCTGCGAAGTGAGTTCGGTGCCGTGGTCGCTGAAGCAAAAGAGGTTTCTCAAACATCACATAGCTGCAGACCCTGTTGGGGCAGGGGGGGGGGTTCTCAGGCTTGCTTGCAAATGTGGAAATATCATTGGCCGGCGCTGATCCCCAGCGCCCTGAGTCAGGCGCACGGGAAGGGCTTGATCTGCTTCGTCTCCAGGATCATCGGATTACTTTTTGGGGTTCATGGGTTTGGACAGACGGCGGTTGTTTAGGGCTTGGAGTTTATTTAGAATCTCTGGCTTTCCTTTGTCATAGTGGGGACTTGTTTTTACATTTTTTAAGGTACTTCAACTCAATAAGGAATAGGAATTTAACTTTTTTGCACTATCCCAACCATGAACTAGTTTCGAAACAGAAGAGCGCCGCGGCCTTTCCGAGACGATGACCTGGCGCCGCGTTGGCAAGTCCTGCGGCCCCCAAGCTCGAAGCCCTCAACCTCGAAATGCTTGGAGACCAACGCGACGAAGACTACTACTCCTACTCCTTCTCCTGCAGCTGCCACTGCCTCTGCTGCTCTCCTCCTAATCCTCTACCACCATCCTGCCTGCTGATGGCAAGAACAGTAATGAAATAAACGATAACCACACCCCCCCCCCCCCCCCTGCAAATCTAAACCCTAAACCCTAAACCCTAAACCCTAAACCCTAAACCCTAAACCCTAAACCCTAAACCCTAAACCCAGCACCTAAACCCTATACCCTCCCTAACCCGCCCCCCCCCCCCGCGTGTCCAGGCGGATAACCTTTGCAGGGAGCGGCTCCCAGACGGGGCCCTTGCACTCATCGCACCAGGGCCTTGCCAATCTGAGCTGGGATCCCAAACCAAGCTCCAAGAGCTCCATAGCCCAACGCAACCTTAAAAGGACCTAAACCCTAACCTCATATAAACTCTCTCTCTCTCTCTCTCCATACATATGCATCTACATATATGTATATATACATATACATGTATACTCTTATGCATATATATATATATATATATACACATGCAAAGCCTGCATGACCCTAAGCGCTTGGTGTGAGCTCCCACAAGCCCTTGCGGGCACCTGGAGCGATGCAACCTCGCCGCAAGCTCCTCGCCCCACTGGCGCGTTGCGGCCTGGTGGCTTAGGGTTTAGGGTTTAGGGTTTAGGGTTTAGGGTTTAGGGTTTAGGGTTTAGGGTTTAGGCTGTTAGGGTTAAGGGGTGTTCGGGGGTTTCGGATTCACGGCTTCCCACCCTTAGTATTGTTGTATACTGGCGATAATGCAGTATGTATCAGTGGGTGGGGGACGGGGGGTGGCTATACACGGGGGGATGTGACCCTTTCAACCTTGAATCCCAAACCTCCACAGCCCTAGAAACCTTACCCAGCATTAGTCGCAGCCTTCGAGTGTGTATTTTTGAGGGGATTCCTGACTCATAATCCTGATTCAGGCAGAGGAGCTGAGGCTCAGTGCAGATTGGCTTCTTAGAGGTGTTCAAGCTGCTTGAGGTTGAGGGGCGGGGGTTGGGATGTTCCCCCTGATACTAACAGTACTTGACATAGGGGGTACTATAATCCCTATTAAGGACGGTTAGTATGAGGGAACATCCCAAGGTGGGGGGTCTCATGCCACTTAACTTCCGCGAGTTGCAATTTTCGGAAGGATTGTGGCTGAGGGCTTCTTTGTGGACAGTGCGCCCTGAGCCCTTCACAACACCCGAACCTTCGGCCTGTGGCCGACAAGCAATCCTAATCTTCCCCATCCCTTCAAGATCGGGCCGCTCAAGCAAAAACCGGTAAGCAGAACTACAGGAACGAGATTTGCACACAGCTTCCAGAAAGAAATCAAAGGAATGCCTTCTTGTAGGAGGAGACATGCTTATAGGTGGAGACATTCTAGAAGGAGGCACATAAACCCTAAACCCTTAACCTTCAGAAATTCCAGTGCCTGGGGTTCAAAGGGGTTTAGGGCCCCGGAACATGAAAGCCTGAGTGTTGGCTACTTCTCCGCTCGGCCCCCTCCCTCCGACCCTGCGCACCTGTCGTTTCAGGAAGTAGTTGCAGCGGTGAAACTCAGCAGGCGGAGACATGAGGAACATGGCAGGAACGCACTTCTCAGTCTTACGATTAACTAATGATGCCCCAGAAAGACCTCCTCACGAAGTTTTGAAGTTCGTGGGGCGCCCAAGGGGCAACCCCGTAACCCCAAAGACGACACAATGGACTGGGCGGCTCGCGCCCTCTGAGTGTAGGTACCCCCCAAACTGAAGCACCGGCCTCTGTCCGCAAGACCAGGTCCAGCTTGATGACGTCGTTCTCCAAGGGGCTCGGGGGCAGCGACACGAAATCTTGGCCTCGGTTGAGGCTTCAGGGCTTATATTGCGCCTGTCTAGTGCCTAGAGGGCGTGTGCTTTGGGTTTGGGGTTTAAGGGTTTAGAGGCTGACTACTGAACCTACCACTAGACAGGTACAACCTTGTTGTGTGTTCTGCCCGCTGAGCCAAAAATCAAACTAAGATCCTCTTGTTCCCCAGACAACAGGAAAAGATCTCCTACATAAACCCATCAACCACCCATACTCAAATATGCAACCAGGACTCTATGTGTATATATATATATATACACATGTGTAAGTAACAAACTAACCAACCAACCATCCAAACAAACACATAGATGTACATGAATGTGTATATATATATATATATATATGCGCATATGTATACATATACACGTATGTATGTCTGTCTGTATGTATGTCTATATGTGTGTATGTGTGTATGTATGTATGTATGTATGTATGTATGTATGTATGTATGTATGTATGTATGTATGTGTGTATATGCATGCATGCATGCATGCATGTTTGTATGTATGTATGTATGTATGTATGTATGTATGTATACACATAGGGGGTTCGTATTAAAAAGCGCTGCAGCGCCCAGATTTTGGAATCTGAGGGTGCAAACTCAGAAGTCCCTAACACAAAGAAAGGGCTTGCGGGTTAGGGTGATTCGGAACACCTTATCCTTCAAGCAAAATGAGCATTCGGCACAAACCGCCATGGTGACCTGAAGGGATCCTTATGAAGCCGATCAATTTCCCAAATCGCAAAGCACCCTCTGAAACTGCATGACTGCTGCAGCTTTGGCACTCCATGGCAGGCGGTGGTGGACACTTGAGTCGTCGTGGATGCCTGCAAAAAAAGCTGGCCAACAGAACAGGCTCTAACGAAGCACGCCTCTACGAACCCCAGTCAAGCTCCCGACCAGCAGAAACACAAGCTGAAAGGAAAAGGGCAAAGCACAGCACATGCAACCCGCCCGAGAGGATTCTACTTAACCATGAAGCCCGTCCATCTCCAACGGCGAACCATTCAGACTCTGTTGAGATGATGCAACCTCCCAAGACTGTTTGGGGCTACGTGCTCGACTACCAGCTCACCTAGCCTATCCGACGCTTGCTCTGATAGGGTCCGTTTTCCGGAGTCTTTGGGGCTCCATTCGGACCCAAATCCCTCAAACCCCTTTCCTTCAGGAGTCCATCTGGAACCCGAAGCCCTTCAATCCTTCAACCCCTAAAGCCCAAACCCTTAAACCCAGAACCCATAAAGCCTAGGGCTAAACCTAAACCATAAACCCTAAACCCGCAACCCGAAAGAAGCCCTATGTCGTCAATGAAGGGTGCCTGGTCTCAGCGTGGTGTGCCAGGGCTCTGCAGCCTCTGCTGGTTTGGCTCGGAGGGGGGGGGGGGGGGAAAGAGGGGTTCAGGGTTTAGGGTTTAGGGCTTAGGGTTTAGGGTTTAGGGTAAACCCCAATCCACTGTTTGCTGAAGGCCCCCTAAACCCTAAACCCTAAACCCTAAACCCTAAACCCTAAAGCCTGAAGTTCCCACTCCCCAAGCAACCCCTATGGGACTTTAGGAGAAGCTGTTTAAGCCCCGGAAGCTTTCAGTCCCTGAAAAAGCAGATGACGAGTGGCGGAGAAGAATCATCCTCTACATTTCGGGCATGGAGTTTTCGGCTTGGGTTTCCTTGAACCGCCGTAAACTAGGACGTTTACTCATACTGAATGAGCACGCATTAGCCAAGGGATGTTGCTTTCCTTGCCTTCTTGGGAGGCTGCGCCATCTTTGGCAAGCTCGACCTCGGAAGAGTGGCATCCTCGGCCACAGCCTGCCTGACGTTTTGGGGTTCAGGGCTTCTGTTGCTGTAGGAGCTTTGGCTATACCCCCCTTAGAACCTTAATAAACATATTATCTTTAATATCGTCTTGGGTCTTATATTCAAAAACACAAGACTAATTCCCAAAGGGGGGGACATAGTTGGTGGAGCATCGTCACTCCAGCTGTGCCCAACGACTCCATTCCAAAATGTACAACGGGGAAAGGGTTCCGGACGTTTCTGCAACCCCGCCTCCCCTTCCATTGAAAGGACCGTGCCTTCTTTGTGGCTGCCCTAGAACAGAAATACAACAATGATGGCAACAACAAGAATAGCAATGTCAAACAAGTCTAATTCGCAAACAGCAAAAAAAACATTGCCAAGAAGCTGCCAAGTAAACAGCGACATTTCGGGACCCAAGCCCTAAACCCCAAAACCTAAACCTTAGCCCTAAACCCTAAACCCTAAGCCCTAAACCCTAAACCCCAAACTTCAGGGTTTAGTCGCTCACTCTCGCACAAGGCAAGTATATGAGCATGTCCTATTGCGATTTCTGGGAAGGCCCTCCTACTCCTCATCTTCGGATTTTCCGTGGCCTGTCCAGCTCCGCCCACGCCGGGCTGCTGAGCGTACAGTCAAACTGGGCGCCTGCGAGGCTTGCAATCCGAAGGAGGGGGGGGGGCTTGCGAATGCTTTCGGATGTCGGATGATAGCGTTTGCTGCTTCTGTGCCTTCATGCCTGCAAGAGAAGTTTCGGCTTCAGGGTGCGCAGCTCCACGGATACTACTAGGTGTTTGAACCCTAAACCTAACCCTAAACCTTTGACCCCTGAACCCTAAACTCCAAACCTAACTCTAAGCCCCTGAACCCTAAACCCCCGGCTTCTTTCCCGCAAGTCTGGGACCTCGCCGCAGCGAAGACCGCAGGGCCCGCGCTGGGCTGAGGGCCGGCGGCGACAGCGCCGACAGCAAGCCTTCTTGAAGGTTCATGGTAACTCAGAAATCCCCATTTAGGAGGGTTTAGGGTTTAGGGTTTAGTGTTATCGCCCCGACTATGAGTCTACTTTTTTCCTACTTAGGGGACTTGGGGGGCTTGGGGGGGTTATAGGTACAGTTATAATTAGGTACAAGTGCCCTGAACCTCCAAGTTGGGAAGACTGCGGAAGAACCAGTGATGATCTGTTGGGTCTAGGCTTTTTGTTTGCCTCCCGCCTAGCTGCACGAAAGCTCACATTTGCGGGTTTCGTGTTTAGGGTTTAGGGTATCTTGAAATATGATTGCATAGAACTCAGTGTGTGCTTCCGGTGAGGAGGAAAAACCAAGCAGGTGGTCTGATTGAGTGCTTCTAGAGGACAAGGTGGAGCCCTAAATCTCTCATCGAACAACCAGCTGCCACATCGCCTTCCCCAACTGTCAAAGTCGGGAGAAGTGGCTTCAAGGGGGCTCAAGCTAGGACGGTTAGGGCAATTTGCCATCCGACGAGGGATCTGTTGAACAGCAGCTGCCTATAGGCTGCGTTTCGATGACGCCCAGTCGCCAGAAAGCGGCTACGGTTCCAACGTAGCGGCGTAGCACACAAAGGAAGTGTTAGAGCAAACTGAACCCCACCTAAACCCTATAAACCCGAAACCTCCTTTAGCCCCCTGCCGCCAGCATACTTTCAAAGGCTGCAGCGGAGCCTGCGGGCAGCGACTTTTCGGGGTAGCTGGGCTCTTCGAACCGTGCGGGCACGTTGGGGGGGAAGGGTGTCATGAGTGCAAGAAAGGGATTTTCCATGTGAAAGGCACCTAAAATTCTGAAAATGAAGATCGAGAATGAAAGCTACCAACAGTCATGAACACATTTATGAGCGGGCATGTTAGGGCTTCACTTTGTATTTGCCGCCCGGGGTTTAGGGTTACGTCACAGCTGCCCCGATTCGTCGTGTCCTTCGGAGTCTAAGGATGAGAGTAGCTGCGTGGTATTGGGCGTGGAGCTGAGCTACTGGAGCGATCATCCTGAAACCCTGAAAACCTCAAACCCTCCCTGTCTCCCTCCCTCCCTCTCCCTCTCTTTCTCTCTCTTTCTCTCTCTCTTTCTCTCTCTTTCTCTTTCTCTCTCTCTCTCTCTCTCTCTCTCTCCCAGGCATTCTAAACGTCGAACCCTAAAACCCTAGATCCCATCATCAAGGGGCAGCTCTTGCGATCATCATAGGGGTTCCCTACTGACTCAGGAGGAGGCCTTGGGTTCCAGGCAACGAAATCCCACAAGCCTTTGGCAGGTTTCGGGGTTCAAAGTTTAAAGATATCAGCCACAAGCCCCAAACCTTTACGTGGTTTCAGGTTTAGGGCTTAGGGTGTGGGGACGCGGGCTTTGGGGTTTTGAGGTTTCGGGGTGTTGGAGTTTGGTGGGAGTACAAGTCGTCAAACCCAGCAATCTCCGACAATGCGCACCTGCGGCTTTCCACGCTTGGCTCCACAAAATCCTTGAGTCAGTCAGACTCAATCTGGGTTAGGTTTGGGGTTTGGGGTTTGGGGTTTAGGGTTTAGGGTTTAGGGGTTAGGGTTTCGGGTTTGGGGCTTGGGGTTTAGGGTTTAGGGTTTAGGGCTTGGTTTGATTTCTTTGGGAGTTGGAGATTTGGGTTCGCGCCTGCATAAGCCTGCGCCTGACCCTTGAACCCAAGGCACCTACAAACCATCCACTTAGCCTGCAGCAAACCACAAAAAATTGGAACATCCTTGTCCCCGTACCCAGACCCCAAATATTGAAGGGAATCCTAATCCCAGCTCTAATCAGCCTTGAACCATGTTCCAACTTTCTGGTGTTTACTGTAGCTCCACTGGATCGAGAACACACTGGTGCACAACCGGACACTGCACGTCGCGTACATTCAGCTCGTTTAACTTGTGGAACGTTTGGAGCATCCACCCCAAACCTCCCCAACGCCTAGGGACGCCGTATGGTATGCAGCCGAAACCAGACCGAGAGAAGGGCTCCCACTTCCTGATCACTAAAACTCAAGGAAAAGAAAGCCAGAAACCCCAAACGCAAAACCCTACAACCCCCAAAAGGCTTGGGTCTTGGTGTTTATGAGCCTCAGGGTGTAAGCCCCAAACCCTAAACCCTAAGCCCTAAGCCCTAAGCCCTAAGCCCTAAGCCCTAAGCCCTAAGCCCTAAGCCCTAAGCCCTAAACCCTAAACCCTAAACCCTAAACCCTAACAAACCCTTAAACCAAGCGACTTGAGAGTCACGAGGCCTTGACGAAGGTCCTTTGGCTGGAAGGCCCTTAGCCCAAAGGAACACTTCAGGGGATCCTCTTTGACCTTACTGTTGGTTAGGGTTTAGGGTTTAGGGTTTAGGGCTTAGGGCTTAGGGCTTCGGGCTTAGGGTTTAGGGTTTAGGGTTTAGGGTTTAGGATTTAGGGTTCAGGGTTTAGGGTTTAGAGTTGAGGGTTTAGGGTTTGGGGGTAGGGAATGGGGGAATGAGGGAATGAGGTACCCTATATAATCCCTTAAAGGGTATAGATAGGGGGATATAGGGTACCTCATTTCCTCATTCCCTGCTAAGCAACAGTAAGTTTATCTTTTGACTCTCTTGACCCCAAAAACAACCACCACAGGCTGACTCAAACAGCCGTGCACTGCAATTGCGAGCTCCGGGAATGCTCTTGGGAACCTTTTCTTTTAAAGGGGTTAGCGTTTAGGGTTTAGATTCTAAGTAGGTCTAGGGGTTTATCGGTTTTAACACTAAACCCCTGGAACTACTTCGAATCTAAACCCTAAACCTTTAACTGTTCTACAAAGTCTGAAGGGAGGTGATGACTCGGCGTTTGACTGAGGCCGAGAAGCTCCGCATTCCCACCCACGTCTGGTGGGTACTGCCGTGGCTCAGGATCTGTCCTTGAGTTTACAGGTACCCCTAAACCCTAAACCCTAAACCATAAACCCTTCGAGTTAAGAGCGCTTTACAGGTGTTGGGAGGTTTTCGAGTTGAGTGCGTTTTGGGCACTGAAGCCCACGTAGCCATGAGCCTGCCGCCTACCGCAGCCTTTACAAAGCAAATCTGAACGCGAGAAGCCTCGTGAAGCCAGGTGTCTCGTCGGCTGGTACAAGAGCTGGCACTTCTGTTGCCGGCTGATCTGAGGAGAAGCAATACCCACAGGCCCTGACGCCTCTTGATGACCGAACCGCCCAATGCTTTGGGAATGCTATTTCGAGGACGCTTCCAGATTTCGGGCTCTTGGCTCAGCGTCGGCAAACTCACGAAGCTTTCGGGCCACGGGGAGCTGCACTGCTTTGGGGCTCCTCGAAGGGAATTCAGCAGGCGCCTGCGGCTTTATTCTGGCGTAAAGTCTTAGATGGAGACCTGCAGAGTGAAAAAAAGCTGGAGTGGACACGAAATACCCAACCCACCCCCATCCCCCGCCCTCATTGACACACTTCGCACGCACTAGGGGCCTGAACGCAAACTTCGGTCGGACTTTACATACGAGGGGTGAGAGCCTGAAGAAGCCCTCTCTCACCCTGCCTGACTGGGGTGCATTTCCCTCTTTGGAGGCCTCTGGCTCCTCCTGCCAGAACAGAGAGGGTGAGAGACACACTCCTTTCTGTTCCTTATCGAGGGGGGGGAGCGGTGTCTCTTGCTTCATTTTTGGGTTTCTGTAAGGGCTTGAGGGCCCGTGGTTCAGGAGGGCTTCACGGCGTCGGGGGCTTCAGTACCCTGAAGCGAAAGCGGGAAACCCGACATCCTTTCGCACTGAAAATGGCGCATGCTGTGTTCCAAGCTCGGGGCCCCAATGTCCAATCGAATGCTTTTTTCTGCTTTTTCACAACGTAGGGGTTTAGGGTTGCTTCGGGGCTTCATGGGGTCGATGTGGGGTTCAGGGTTACTTCGGGTTTAGCATGGTTTAGCACTCCTCTGGGTAGGTCCACATTGCCTGGGGTTGGGGCTTCGACGCTCAGGCTCGCCTGCTTTTAGCACCCTCAACCCTCAACCCTATAAACCCTATAAACCCTATAAACCCCAAACCCTCAACCCTATAGACCCTATAAACCCCAACCCTATAAACCCTAAACCCAAAACCCTGTAAACCCTAAACCCTGTGCACTTGTTTGGGGACCTGCCTCTTGGATCAAGAAACAAAATCTTGAAGCCCAAAGCGGCCCCGGAACGCTGGAGCCAACTCCTCCCTCCCCCCTCTCCCCACAAGGGTTTAGGGTTTAGGGTTTAGGGTTTCGGGTTTAGGGTTTAGGGTTTAGGGGACCTTTGCCCCTTTTTTCCATATGACAGCTCTTGGATGGCCCTTAAACACCCTCGGAAAAATATTCCTGGAATCGAATCCTCTTAAATCCAAGAGAGGAAAAGTACAACATGTCCCAAGGCCCTACCTAGAGTGACTATAATCGTATACTGTACTGCTGTAAGAACAATTGTTTAAGATAAGGAGGGACCCCCCTCGAATCTTATTCTACAACCCCCCTCTAAGCTACACCTAAGCAAATGGACATTCCCCTGTACAGCCCCCTTTTCATACCCAAGTAGCCCCTAGATTTTTCATACCTAAGTAGCCCCTAGATCCGGGCCTCTACGCGGTCCTCCTCGGCCTCCACCGTGGACATTTTCTGCTTCGCCTTAGGGCAAGTTTCTGCGAGCTTTCTATAGCGGAGAGGGAGAATTTAGGCAAACTGGGTACGACAATTTTGGGGGGAGCTTAGATTGTGGAAGACCTCGTCAGACAAAGCCCAGGTTCCCAACAGAACCCAGCACTCATTTCTTCTAGGTCTCGATCAAAGATAGAGCCGATGGAAAACAGAACCAATCTTCATAAAACCCTAAACCCTAAACCCTAAACCCCAAACCCTTCAGTTCTTCGGGCTCGGAGGCTGATTCTTTGGGCTTCGGGGGGGAGCTTCTTGCTTTGGAGCGCTCGGCTCCAAGAACCAGCAGACCCTTCGAGACCAGCTTTGTTTAGGGTTTAGGTTTCAGGGCTTTAGGGTTTAGGCACAAATCGAAAAGTGTACCAAGAAGGGTTTAGAAGGGTTTAGGGTTTAGGGTTCAGGGTTTAAGGTCTAGCTTTTGAAGCTTCGAAGCTTGCGGGGTTAAGGGGTGGACGGGTAGCGCCCTATTGCGACCTAGCTGGCTGGGTCTCAGACCAGAAAACACGCGACATGGACGTGGAGACGTCGACATCCCTTCCCTGGTTTTACAGGAACAGCCGACAAGCAGGGCGCGACGTCATACCTCGAGAACCCATTACAGCTTCATCCAGGAAGCTGCCTCAACTTGGAACCGAACCTCGGCTTAAGGAACCTTCGCAGTTTTGGCCCTGAATCGCCAAAGGATCTGACAAGCCAAGTTTCCAAGCACGCGAGCATTCTGCCATAAACGTTTAGCATCTCTAAAGTCTAAACCCTAAACCCTAGACCCTTTCTGAACCCAGACTCTTGACGAAACCTTAAACCCTAAACCCTAAACCCCTAAACCCCTAAACCCCTAAACCCCTAAACCCCTAAACCCCTAGACCCCTAAACCCCTAAACCCCTAAGCCCCTGATACCCCAAAGCCATTTACGCCACGGGCGCTGCCCACACCCAACTTCGGAAGGACAGCTCTTTCAACCAGTACTCTGCCCATGGATACCTGAGATTCGGGTTCTTGCAGAGGGGTTTAGGGTTTAGGGTTTAGGGTTTAGGGCTATTAGTACTCTGCCCACGGATACCTGAGATCTCGGGATCCTTAGGGTTTAGGGTTTAGGGTTTAGGGTTTAGGGTTTAGGGTTTAGGGCGACCGCAGGGTTTTGACTTGCTTGTGCTCGGGTCGTGGGTGATTCGTTTCGATCTACAAGCCCAGTTCGTGCCTGAAAAAAGCACTGGTTAAATTGAGCGCAAGAATACGTCGTCAGACTGAGGGTACATAAAACCCAACTCACTACCCGTGTGCATCCAAGTATGGGAAGCCCCAAATAGCCACAGCCGTTCCAAGCGGTTTAAAGGGAGAAACTTATAAAGTGGGTTGCTGTCAAGAACTTAGATGTCCTCTTTTCCGTAATGAAGAACAACGCCACTTGTTTCGTATTCAGATTCTTGTAACTTACTTGATTTTCAAACAAAGTTCTGTAGCAGCCCAGCTTAAGACACCTTATTCTACTCTGACACCCTGCGCTTAGAGCTGTTCAAGCCATTCCATGCACCATGGAAGGAAGGAAGGAAGGAAGGAAGGTACTTGATGCCAGCTGAATTCCCGAAGCGATTACCACAAACCCTGCTGAACCCTAAGCCATCCAAATAGCCCCATGCCCCCAAGAGAAAGCAGCCTGAAGCAGACCCGTAAGCTGCCCATGAATATAGGGGCCTTAATGCTTAGAATAGGGTCTCGGGGGTTCTTATGGTATAAATATAACGGGACCATAAGGGAATACGACTAGTAATTATTCCGACCCCACCCTAAACCCTAAACCCATAGTAGACCCCACCCCCCGAAAGCCAAAACTCGGAGAGCCGAGACTCTGCCGTGACCTGGTCCTTCGGAGTGCCTGGGGGGGCCAAGGGCTCTCCGAGGGTTCGGTATGCAAGCACGGCAGGAACGCGAAACCCTGAGGATCTCTATTGCCTATAGTAATATTTGCTTAAAAAAACCCTCAAAAATGAAAGATGATGGTCCTATATGGCCTTATAAGGGAGACCATTTGTTCATTCAGAGGTGACGTGAGTGAAATAACATTATTTGCAAGTTCTTCTATTGGTAGTAAATCACAAGATAATAATGTAGAAAAAACTACGGAACATACGATAATGTAGTACCAGCACGTCCATTAAGAACTGAATGTACGTGCATATGAAGTTTTTAATAACAGTTCTCGATTCGCATGAAAAGTGTGCGCGAACACAGCACACTATCCCAACAAATCGAAGCTGTTGCATCCTTATTCTCACAGACTTCTTTTCACAGGCTTCTGTCCTCACATCCCGCATGTCGTTCATTCGCACATCCTGGTTGTTACTGCATGAACTCCCGTGTTATAAGCAAGGTTATATGTTGCTTTCACTCTTCCTTGCCATAGTTTCATAAGGAATAAAGGAACCACCAAGTGAAGGAACTGCTATGATCAAGGGTGTCTTTACCCAATACATTCTGTGCGCAATAAAACCCCCAAATTTTAACAACGAAAGATGTTATGTTGCATGGCCCCTATGAGTATAAGATATTGGGCCGGGATGCTGTGTATGAATGCTTGCTCGCTATATAGTATTCACCTCACTCACCCGCAAGAACTCCACAATTTTTATCATCTTGAGTTTAGAGGCTTCAGGCTTTGGGCTTAGGGTATACTTGTTTTGTCGACCTACTGCTTCAGGGGTTTAGGGTTTAGGGTTTGGGGTTTAGGGTTTGGGGTTTTTCAAAAACTTGTTGGTGGAAAAATAAGGCGAACCACCCCGCGCCGCCCCGTAACATGATTTAGGATCGAAGTATGGCTCTGTGTCTCTTTGAGCGCCTGAATGGCCCTAAACGCCTTGCACCCCTTTGCAAGCCGAGGCAGCCCTAAACCCTAAACCCTAAACCCTAAGCCCTAATTAAGCCCTAAGCCCTAAACCCTAAACCCTAAACCCTAAACCCTAAGTCAAGCACTCTCCGGAAGACCCTGCCAGGCCTTTATGACCGGTGAGAAGTGGCTGGCCGCACGTGGATCAAAATGCTGGGAGACGATGGAGACATCCTCGCGGGCCTTGGGACACATGGCAGAACACCTCAGGGTAGCAGAAGCCTTTCGGGAACACATAAGCGGAAGCCGCAGGCCCCACTTACAGTCACATACAGTCACCCACAGCCTCGACCTTTGCCTACAAGGCTCTATACAAGACCTTCTTTCCGTTCTCAGGGGTTCTGTGCGTGTGTGTTTGGAGTGCTCGGATGGGGAGTAGGTCTCGGCACACCTGAGGTGTACACCAATGCGGTACGTGGTAACCACAGCTGAGTCATTGCAGGATTGGGGAAATACGCTGCGTGCATCAGCTACAGGGCAAGAGCACAACGAGTTGAGCATGCAACAATCATATATGCCGGCCGTAACATGAATACTACCCATGCAGGTTAGATCAAGTCCCTCACTTGCAGTCGTATGTGCATGCAGAACGGGAGACGTCCAGAGATAGGTGCGGGAATAGCAGTGGCCTCGAGCACTTTTTCTCGGCCCCTGAGCCCCCGATAATCATCCCCACAAAAAAACGGCTGAACCTCAAATCCCGAACTCCCCCAAGAAACACAACAAAAAAAACCTCTCTAAGCCCTCGACCTCCATCACCAAGACAGACATCTCCCCACCCCAACCACAAATGTACTAAATACATAATGGATAATTCCTCTCTCTCTCTCTCTACGGATATACTTATGTACATACTCATACTTTCTACTATCAAACAGACATGGAAACAGAGTCTTCTTAAAGGGCCAAGGGGCCAGGCAGCGCTGGCCTGCAGTTGTGGGCACGGCCACAGAGGCCAAGTCTTGGAGCCCCAGCGGCCCAAAATGGTCCCTTCAAGGCGTCCCAGCTTCTTCTGGGGGGGGGGGGGGGGGGAGGGTTTAGGGTTTTAGGATTTAGGGTTTAGGGTTTAGGGTTAAGTAGGGTTAAGTAGGGTTAAGTAGGGCTTAGTAGGGCTTAGTAGGGCTTGGTAGGGCTTAGTAGGGCTTAGTAGAGTGGGTTCAGTAGGGTGTAGTAGGGTGTGGTAGGGTGTAGTAGGGTGTAGTAGGGTTTAGGGTTCAGCATCTCAAGTTCAAGCATTCACTAGTAAGTCTCCGTACTCCGGTATCGAATATCGACCCGCCCACCCATTGGATCCCATAGCATTATGAACATGTTTTACTTCTTCTTTTAACCCAATGCGGGTTGTCCCGGGGCCCTTTTCCCGGGACAGATGTCCCCGGTGGTGCTTCCACGAATTGTTGGCGCTTGTCAGCGAATTGTTGGCGCTTGCCCGCGAATTTCGGCGCTTGTCCGCGAGTTGTTGGCGCTTGTCTGTGAATTGTTGGCGCTCGTCCGCGAAGTGTCGGCGCTTGTCCGCGATTTGTTGGCGCTTGTCCGCGAACTGTTGGCGCTAGACCGCGAAGCCATGAGCCGTTAAATATTCATAGGCTTGAAAGGGTGTAGGGTTCATAGGGTTTAGGTTTGGGGGGGTGAGGGCAGTTGTTGGGTTCAGGGTTGAGGTTTTATAAGGTTCAGGGTGGGGGGCGGGTGATGGGGGGGGGGAGGGGAGTTGGGGTTCAGGGTTGAGGGTTTATAGGGTTGAGGGCTTTGGGGGGGTTGTGGTGGGGGGTTCTTGGGGTTCTTTGTGACGGTTTTTGGTGTTTAATCAAGGGTTTCTCGGGTTTAGGGTCTAAGGGCTTCTTACGAAGCCTTTTTTGGGGTGGTTCTTCTTATGAGCTATATGGTTTAGGGTTCTGAGGGCCTTTCTTTGAGGAGTGCTGGGCCGGGTTACTTTGGGGTTTGTACGTTCTTCAGGTCTTACTTGGGCCGTAGCGTCTGCCCATGGGGTCATAGGGCTTTTTGGTCGGGTCTTCTGGGCCTAGCAGAAGACCCTCAACCAACAAACCCTGAACCCTCAACCCTCAAGCCTAGAGCCTAGAGCCTAGAGTCCTAGAGCCTAGAGCCTAAAGCCTAAAGCCTAAAGCCTAGCAAGTATCTTGGGGGAGTGGTTTTGCTCACAGGGGTTCTTGGTAGCCCTTCAAGAAGCTCCGCCATGGCCCTGCCCTCCATCTCAAATATCCAAAACGACCCCAAACCCTAAAAAAACCTAACCCTAAAACCCGAAACACCTCAAAACCCTAAAGACCCTTCTAGAGCCGCCGGATGCAGCCCTTCAAGACCCTAAAACCCGAAAAAAGAATCCTCAACGTCCAACAGAAGCCCTAAAGAAGCCCAGAATGAACCCTAAAACCCTAAAAAAAACGCCACAACCCTAAAACCCCTCAAAATCCTAAAAAGACCCTGTTATGAGCCCTAAGGATGCAGCAAAAGCTCCCATAGGTGCTTGAAGGCGGTGGGCGGAAGCGGACAGGCGGACCTGTGTGGGCTCCGAAGAGATGTGGCTCTATGGGGTTCTCTTTAGGGTTTAGGGGTTTAGGGTTTAGGGTTTAGGATTCATAAGGACTTATTATTGTTCGGGATAACGCTGGTTATCCAACTTATAAGGCTGCTTATGACTTCCCATGAACCTCCAAGCAGGCTGCAGGGTAAAGCTCCGGTGCATTTCATTTAGGAAAGCTTACTAGCCCTTGTCACCCTCTTAGAATCTTGGGGGTTTAGGGTTTTGGAAGAAAAAACTGTAAGCCCATGAACCTTCAAGTAAGCCGTAAGGACAACCCCACAACGTCGAGACTCCTGTCATGGGTCTATGGCGATGGAAGGCTGGCACTTGGAGCAGTTCTTGGGGCGGTTTAGGGTTTAGGGTTGAGGGTTTGGGGTTTAGGGTTTGAAGCAACAAGGCCTTCAACTTTCCTTTCATCTCTCTGCCCCGAGTCAGTTGCCGGCTGCCGGCGCTAATCTTAACTGGCTATGCTGACACGGTGGCTCTTCCGGACTGGACCTGGGCAGCGGCCTCTTCCAAAACACGGGCTTCCGCTTGTAGGAAGGTCGCAACGAGGAGATTCAGGTGCAGGTCTTCACCATCCAACACAAAGCCCGTGACTCGCTTCAGCTCTTTGAGGCTTGTCTGCAAGACGTAAAGGAGGAGCTCCTTCGTGCGGGGAGACTCCATCGTGGCCTGACCTCGTAGTTCGCTCAGATGCTCCAGGTCCTCCCAAAGATAGGCGCAGTAGTTCACCAAGCCCTGTGGCACCCTCACAGTGGAGAACGTGCAGCTCTTCTCGTTCGCATCCTCTACACAAGAATCGGTGGCTTCAGACACTGAGTCCAGTTCAATGTCCCACACTGCAGCTTCCAGGCTCACCCCGTCCTTCTGGGCCTGCTGTAGTCGCGATGTCCATTGTGGGATCGTCTCGTCGTCCCCTCCCAATGTCGAGACGGACGCAATTGCGATGGGCACGTCAGGGACAAAGCCCTGGTACAGCAGGTAGTGACGCAAAGGGCGGTGAAGGGCATAAGTTGTCGTGACCGCCTGCCCTGCGTCTATCGGGAAGTTGCTCTTCCACAGAAGTGCGTCGGAGTCTTCTGCAGGGACTAGAACCTTGGTGGCTCTTGAACCCCCCAAGAAAAGTTTAGCTTGTGGCTTCCTTAATGTGAAATTAGAGGAACCCCAAAACTTAAAAAGTGCCCTACGCCCTAGACCCTACATGTTTTTTGCAACGGGACTAAACCCTAAACCCTAAACCCTAAACCCTAAACCCTAAACCCTAAAGTCCCACCTAGGAGCCGTGCGCGAGGCTGAATCGGTGTTGACCATGTCCCAGGCTGGCGCCAGGTAGGCGCGCCCATCGCTTCCGGCATTCTGACGGCTGCGCACCACGGTCATGACCTACTTGGAGGTTCATGGGTACGAATTATAGGGTTTAGGGTTTAGGGTTTAGGGTTTAGGGTCTAGGGTCTGGGGTTTAGGGTTTAGGGTTTAGGGTCTAGGGTTTAGGGTTTAGGGTTTAGGGTACTTGCCACCCCTATTATAACTGTACTTATAAGCCCCCGCACTCCCCTAAGTAGGTTAGAAGCAGACTTATACTTGGGGGTATAAGTACCCATGGACCTCCAAGTAGGATGGCCTCTTATGACCCTCTGCAAAAAAATCCTGAACATGATCCTCTCAAGGGAACCTTTTTTGGGGGTTTAGGGTTTAGGGGTTATATGATTCTCTTCAACCCAATAAGGGAAAATGCAAAATGTCCCAAGGGCCTACCGAGTGACGTACTTCCAATCTTGCCAGGAGCAACCCACATGTGGATACGCCAAGATGTAGGAGAGCAGCAGACCTTTTCGCGCCTGCAAAGCTTCCTCCGCCGCCACGGGCGACGGATCAAGCAGGTTGAGGAACCGCCACGGCCACTGCAGCACGCTGTGCCAGTTCGACACGGGCGGCAAAGAGTGCAAATAGGGATACCAAAAGGAATTCTTGCCCAACTGCAGCTCTTGTGTGACTTCAATAGCCAACCTCGTTGCCTGGGAAAGATTGGAGAGGTTGTTCTTGGGCCGAAGCAAGACAGACTCTGGGATGATCATGAGGGCCGTGTCAGATGCCAAGGGCTCTCTTGCATACCAACCTCGCCCAGTGGTGGCATTCAGTTGGAGGTGCAAGGAAGGATGCACTTGGCCACCTGCTTCCTGGAACCAATCCAGCAACTCTCCCAGTCGCCTCTTCTCCTCCTCATCGGATCGCCTTGGGTCCTCCACGACGCTCTCAACCTCCTGGGTCGCTTCCTCCAGCCACTTCTCCTTGGTAGCCCAGTGACCATATTCTAAGAAGGGTATCCTTTTTGGGTTTCCTACTTCAGAAGGGAAGCTTGAACCAAAAAAAGGAAAGGGGTACCACTGGGCTACCACGGCTCGGCCAAGCCAATCTGCTCGGGGGTCAGGTCGTGCCGGAGAGCCAAGGCCACTTGGCCCAGCACTTGGGTCAAATTGGGTGAGGCCTGTGCTGCAGCTGTGGCAGCTGTGGCGGCAAGTGCGGTGGCAATGAGCCATGGCACTCGTCGCATCTTTCGGACTCGATATTCTGGGCTTTTGTGCTTATAGGAACATACCCTTCGAACCCCGAACCCTTATGGGGTATCCGAAGAAGCATCCTGACCGCCTACAGTCCACGTGCTGTTCCCAGAAATTCGGCCCCAAGCCCTAACGAAACTTCGTTTTTTTTTTTTTTTGGCATCCGGGCTATGAAATATATCCTCAACCCTAAGTCAGCTCAGAAACAAAAACGCCTTGCGGTTCGAACCTCTGAGACCCGAAGGCATCCCTCCGCCGTGGGTTTTGAGGTTTGGGCTGCCAACTGCCCCAAAAACCTGATCCCAGACTTTACAAAAAGCCGCTACATAACCCCCCACCCCCCAACCAAACTCCCTACAACCCCAGGCCTAAGGTGAAAGTGAAGGGGCAAGGACACTTCCCGCAAAGATCCCCAAACATGAATGATCAACCCAGTTGCCCCGCAACTCATGAGGCTTGGGGCCCAATTTAGGGATTATATCATTACTATTGTTCTTCTCTAACTTAGTATGCCTTTAGGGATGCTATCATTAATTATGATTCTCAACTTCAGTATGCCTAGTGTAGCGATATATATCATTCCTACTATTCTTCTCAACTTTGGTATGACAATGAGCATCTAGCAACTTCCAAGATTAGTCCCGGAGGAGATGAGAACCCTTAACCCTAAACCCTAAACCCTAAACCCTAAACCCTAAACCCTAAACCCTAAACCCTAACCAGAGCTGGGCCGCTGATGGCATCCGCAGCGCTCTTCGCGGGCCACACGCGGCCCGTGACGAAGGGGGGCCTTGGAAGGGTTTAGGGTTTAGGGTTTATAGGGTTTAGGGTTTAGGGTTTGGGGTTTGGGGTTTGGGGTTTATAGGGTTTAGGGTTCAGGGCCTAGGCCCTAGTTGCTGAGTATCCTGGGCCAAAAAAGCTAACCTTTCAACTATGGTAGGGTTTTATAGACCCCAAAAGGTTAAAGGGTACCTACTCAGCTACGAAGTTGCTGTCGTTTAGGGTTTCGGGCTTTGCCGGTCTCAAGCCTGACCAGAATTCAGAAACTCAGAGACTGTTGCCTAAACCCTTAGCAGCAGAGCATGCATCAGGTGCGGCGGGCGTACTGCTCCCCAGACTTAAGTGTGGATTGGTGTAGTATGTCGTCCTCCACGGAGGACGTGAGAGCATATTGGTGTGGCAAAAGCGTGGTATTCCACGGGCTTGTGAGTGGACCTTGCAAAACCCTGAAACCATGGGATTCAAAACTACCCGGTGCCTACACTGGGGTAGGTTTGGGGGCCCTATGGCTCTATAAGGATTATAGAGGGATTACGGGCTGTCTGTAGGAAATACAATGATTATGGGGAACGCGCATACTAATGTTGTAAACTGCCGCGCAGGGACCTCCGTCATGACATCAACCCCGCTTCCCCTAAACTTAAAACCCTAAGCCCTAAGCCCTAAGCCCTACGCCCAAACCCCAAGCCCCAAGCCCTAAGCCCTAAACCCCACACCCCACCCCTTCTGGCTTCAGGCTCTTCGATGCATCGAGCTTGGGGAATTCGGACCCACGGGGGTGCAAGGCTGAAGGGTTTTTAGGGTGTAGGGTGTGGGGTTTATAGGGTTTGAGGGTTTTGGTGCTTTGGGCTCCAGGGTTTAGGGGCTTAGGGGAGCCCCCCAGTGACACACCACATGACGCACATCAAGCCCAATACCGGTAACCTCCCCTCCCCACAACAATCCTTTTGGCTCTATCGCCTATTGAGTCATGGCCTAACGCCCAAAAGCCCTTTCCACAGCCACCCTAAACCCTAAACCCTAACCCTAAACCCTAAACCCTAAACCCTATCCCCTAACCCCTAAATTTCCCGTTGCGCACTGCAGTCCACAAGGCTTCTGGTGGAAAGAGCAGCCTTCGCCGGTGATGTAAACTGGAAGGACCTCGTTCTCTCCGGGGAGACGTACAGACCTACGGTTTAGGGTTTAGGGCTTAGGTCCCCCCACAAAAATATATATATATATATATATATATAATATATAATATGTATATATACATAAAGGGACCATAATTTCCTTTCCTTTACGCTCAGGTTTCAACACCGTACGCACTCTCTTGGAGGTTTCAAGCCTGTCCCCATTGTCTGATATCCCCCATTACTCAATCCTAAACCCCACTTTCCTCTTTGCAGTGCCCGGTAGCCTATGAAGATGGTCTCCCCCCCCCCCCTCCCCCCTCACCATCCCGAAAACAGGAGCAGAGTATTAGTATGTGCCTCTGGGCTGGGCAGTACAAAGTTTCCACAGCTAAGGGTTTGGGGGTCAAGGTTTGGGGGTTTTGAAGTTCCGGGCAAACCCTAACCCTAAACCCTAAACCCTAAACCCTAAACCCTCCCAGTTTCTGTTTAGGGTTTCCGAACTCCTGAAGAGGGGGTAAAACCCGCGCCTTGCTGCATAGAGCAGGTTGGAAGCTGCCAACATCCTGTGGCTCAGGGTTGAGGGTTTAGGGTTGAGGGTTTAGGGTTAGGGTTTAGGGCTTTTGGTAAAGGGTTTTTAGGGTATTTTAGGATTGCACAGCAGACTGCTGCTGATCAAAGGGTGCCCCCCATTTTTGGGTGTTGGTGAGGCTCATAAGCGAATCTAAACCAGAAGGTGATTGAGGGCACGACTGGGTGTACCCCGAAAAAGGACTATTTCTTGTTGCGTTCCTTACTCGTTGCTAGGGATGGAAAACTCTCGAAACCTCAAACCCTACACCCTAAACCCTAGATCCTGAACCCTACACCCTACACCCTAAACCCAAACAAGTGGGTTCTATGGGGACGCTCGCTCAGGGGCAGGACTTCGTCTGGGGAGTCGGGTGCTTGAAGGCCCTGGTGGTCAGCATGACACGTCCTCGTAACCCTTTAACGCTTCAAGAGCAGTCTGGGTGCCATTAAGCACCTGGAGCACAAGCCTACACAAATTCTTGTCAAACCAACTCCTACGCTTCATGGTCTGCAGGTCTTGCCGAGAGTCTACCCAGGGGTTTCGGAGTTCCATGCCCTTGAGAATTTAGGGGCTTCAGGCTTGCAGCCTCAACGCCTTAGGGTTTAGGGTTTAGGACACTGAAGCAAAGACTGCGACCCCATGTGCCAGAAGCCACCTCTTTTGAGGCTAACTTCTGGCTCAAAGCTGGGCAAAGCTCACCAGACACCGCTCGACGCTTCAACATCTATGCTCAGCGAACCGACGAACGGCGAAAGCATCCTGTACTGTATACAAGTATCTCAAGTTCTTGGGCACCCTCACACATACACATGATACATCTCAGCCGAGGCAAAAGAGGAGTAAGCCTAAACAAGCTCGACAGGCAGATTGTTTGGATTCGCACGAACTCTCAGTGAGAACCAAACCCTCAAACACGGTCGATTGCCTATGCAAACTAAATCCAGGGTTCTACTCAACCCTAAACCCTAAACCCCAAGCCCTAAACCCTAAGCCCTAAGCCCTAAACCCTAAACCCTAAACCCTAAACCCTAAACCCTAAACCCTAAACTTCAAACCCTGCACCCTAAAACCCTGATCTCGGCTTGGGCCGGCCGCCTCGGCCACGAAGATCCAGCGCGGGCCGCTCAGTGGGTGGATGAGATCCGGGGCCTTGGCTTTAGGGTTTTTAAGGGTTTTTAAGGGTTTTTAAGGGTTTTTAAGGGTTTTTAAGGGTTTTTAAGGGTTTTTAAAGGGTTTTGGTTTTAGGGCTTTAGGAATTTAGGGTTTTGGGGGCCTTGGCCCAGGTTTAGGGTTTTGGGGTTTTAAGGCTTCTTTTGTAGAAGGGGTTTGAGGGTTCTGGGGTTTTAGTGTTTAAGGTTTTTGGGGTTTCAGGTTTTAGATGGCATCCGGGGCCTTGGCCCAGGCTTTAGGGTTTTAGGGTTTTCGGGTATTCGGGTTTTGGGGCTTCGTTTGTATAAGGGTTCTAGGGTTTTCGGGGCTTTTGGGTTGAGGGTTTTTTGGGGCTTTAGGGCTCAGTGGGTGAAGGCCCAGATTCGGTATAAGGGTTTTAACGTTTTTAGGGGTTTTAGGGTATGATTGGGTTTTAGGGTTTTTGGTTTTTGGGGCTTAGGGTTTCAGGGTGTAAGGTTTTAGGGTTTTTGGGTATAGGGTTTTCGGGTTTTAGGGTTTCAGGGTTTTGGGGTTTAATTAGGGTTTTAGGGTTTCAGGGGTTAAGGTTTTAGGGTTTTCCGGGTTTAGGGTTTTTGGGCTTTGGGGTTTTAGGATTTTTAGGGTTTAGGGGCCTAGCCGGGCCTAACCGACTCCACTTGGAGCCACTTCGCTGGGAAAACCGGGAGGTACTGGGATACAAACTCTCAAGCCCCAGACTCTGCAAGGGTTTCGGGTTTAAGGTCTAGGGTCTACCCAGAGACCCAATACCGCTTCATTTGGGAATAATTCACATGAGGATCTCCTTTGACATTTTTTGCATTTGAGGGGCGCGCGCTCTAGTGGTATTGTACAAGCGCCTGAAGCTATCCAGTTCGCTCCTGAAGTACTGGATCACAAGAGTGAGTCAACATGGCATGATGAACGCGTTAACCCACTTAGCCTTCATGGGTGAAGCTCCTGAAGCAATATCAATGTCAACTGGCTCGTGTGCCAAAGCACAGAAATGCACTGTACACGCGCCTCGCGCATCCTTGCTTCTTTGTTGCTTTCCTTTTCTTATTCTTGCTTCGTTGTTATTTGTTCTCGCTTGTTCTCACATTGTACTGCATGTCGCTGGTAGTTACTCCCCCCCTAACCCTAAACCCTAAACCCCAGCTCAAGAACGTCAACAGCGATGTTCGAAGAAGCGCGGTAAGACATGATGACCGCCAGTGGAGGTCAGGGCCACTGATACCGAGAAGAAGGCACGCGAAGCACAGAACTGCCCTCGTTAAGGAGCATGTCCCTTAACTTGAAGCTGGGATTAAACCCCAACCCTAACCCTAAACCCTAAACCCCAAACTCGGGGGCTGGTCTTCGGGGGTCTTCAGCCGTGCTTCTCGGCCCGTCATGTCCATCTTGGTCCGGGGGGTGGCGGCCGCAATCTGCTCTACTTCCGTGTCCTGGCTTGGACTGCGGCTTGAAGCCAGAGCCATAGGGGTTTCCCAATGTACTCCAAAAAAGAGAACCCTGCTTTTTTCTCAAGGAGGTCCCAGCTACCCGAAACCTCAAAAAACCACAAGCCCCCCTCTGAACATCCCTAAACCTCCCTAAAGTTGATATGGGATCCAAACGAACCCCCCAAGAGACAAGGGAAGGTCTCTGCACCGCCCCGGGGGCTTCTTGACCAGGGGCTCAGCGCAACTTTCAGCTCTGAGCCGGGGGCGGGCTTTAACCGGGTGTAGGGTTTAGGGTTTAGGGTTTAGGAGAACCTGGGCACTTATGGTTGCAAGGGGTCAGGGGTTCTTCTCGTCTTTCATGTCAAGTTTTGCGTGGAGGTCAAGTGGGCCACGGAAACCTGGCTTTCGATCTCACAGTACAGGACTCAATCATATGCTCCTTCCATTGAAATGATGTTCAATGAAATTCAGAAGGCCCGCTTTGCAGTGCTGAACGACCTTTGGGTCAAGACTTAGGGTTTGTAGAGGGCTTAGGGTTTCCTGTGGCCCTTTAGGGCCTAGACCCCGAACCACCCCCCCCCCCCCGAATGCTGTACCCTCAGCCGCTGCCACTGATGCCTTGAGGTGGATCAGCGGGCTCTTCCCCACGTGCGTCAGCTGGTACATGGCGCTGGCGGGCGCCTCTGGGCATTGAGTATGGTATCCAGTGTGGCCTTTGAGGGCCTTTTGGTTGAAGATCGTGAAGATTTTAGCTGAACGTTGCCACACACATTTCTGATCTTCTTCGAAGGGAACGAAAATGGCAAGGACACCTCGAAACCCTAAACCCTAAACCCTGAACCCAAAAAACCCGGAAGACTGAACCCACACCAAACACCACCGGTGACATGGCTTCTCTCATTGGATGCCTTGCAAGTCCTAGGACCCCAAGAGTATGCCCTTCTTCCCCCCTTTTCTTTAGGGCTTAGGTTCCCTTATAAGTCCATCCTACGCCAGAAAGGGCACCGCCCTTTTTCTAAACCCTAAACCCTAAACCCTAAACCCTAAACCCTAAACCCTAAACCCTAAACCCTAAACCCTAAACCCTAAATTGTTGGTTCCCGGGTGAACTGGAAATATCTTCTTCCAGATGAGAAGATGCCTGAAGGGGAAACTTACTGCGAACCGCACCACCAGCTGCATCTGAACTTTTTCCCGGGCCCTGGAGAGGGATTCCTCAACCCTAAACCCTAAACCCTAAACCCTAAACCCTAAACCCTAAACCCTAAACCCTGAATTAAGGAACCGGTAAGAGGGCAAATTGGGTTCTCAGAGCCTCGAGTAGACTCAGGGGCCGCGTGGCCCCTGACCAGCTGCCAGGGAAGAGTTGCGAGGGCTCCTGTTTAGGGTTTAGGGTTTAGGGTTTAGGGTTTAGGGTTTAGGGTTTAGGGTTTAGGGTTAGAGGGCTTCGGGCTCGCGGGGGCTCTCGGTTTAAGGGTTCCCGGCTCTTCGCCTTACGAGGGGTTTGGGTCCTATTTGCTTAAGAACCCTAAAAGAATTCAAAAAATATTAATAATCCCTATATTACCCTTCCAAGGAAGAATGCTTTTTACTAGTTTAGGGCTTTTGTCGGGCAGGGTGTCCTTGAAGGGGGCTAGTGGGAGGGGGAGGGGGCAGGGGGTCGGCTTTTTGCCGCCCCTCTCCCCCAGTAAAGGCCGACCCAGAAGGCTCCCCCGGACAGAGAGTGCTGAGTGCACAGCAAGACATCGCACACAAAGAACGGATCTATAATGCCCATGTATGTATGTATGTATGTATGTGTGTATGTATGTATGTATGTATGTATGTATGTATGTATGTATGTATGTATGTATACATACAAGATACATAGATACATAGATACATAGATACACAGATACACAGATACACAGATACACAGATACATAGATACATAGATACATACGTATACACCCACCCACACACATACACACCAGCAACACTATGAGATCGACACCTCCAAACCCGGTGGACCAGAAACGTACAAGGTTGGCAAGGTAAAGATAGTCGGGGTGGAACTTTCGGGCTAGGACCAAGATAAGGCTCATGGGAGTGCTGTCGGACACGACAGGCCAGGAACGGTGAACGCAGTGCATTTTCGTGAGGATTGGTTCTCGTGAAGGCGGGTGCACCGTTTGCACAGTTCGGTGATGACAGCTGCCCCCAGAAGCCCAGACGAAGTCCTGAAAGGCCGACAGGTCCATGCCCTTCTGGCCTGTGCTGCTTCACATTTGGGGGGTTAACGTAGGGGCCCCTCATAATATACACCCCCGAATAGTCGGATTCCCGTCTAAGAAGGACACCAAGAAGGTACCCCTATTTCGGAAACCCCATTTTGCACAGGGAGAGAGAGACCAGCATTACTCCCATGTGGGGCGTCGTACTGATTTAAAGTCTTGCGCGAAGCCTGCCATCCAGATCATGTCCGAAACCTGGAACCTGACCGTCTCCTACGTGGTTCTGAGGTGGTTCCATAGGATTTGTTTGAAGTTGCAGTGTTGATGTGGAGCAGGGCTTAGAAGTGGCCATAGTGTGGCCATCTAAATCGCCACCAGATACTTCAAGGCCGCGCAAGGGCCGGAACATACGTAGTCTTTCTCGGACCTGCCCTTTGGAGCATGACTGTCAGACCTCGGACTCTGCAAAACAAAAATAGACTGAGAACATGTGCTTGGGGAAGCCTTACTCCCACTACAGTCACTAAACCCTAAGCCCTAGGCCCTAAGCCATACACCCTACACCCTTTTCCTAAACTTCTAAACGCAAATTCCCGGTGCAAGTCGGGCAGCGGAAGAGGATGTAGGACCCCTCGAAGGTGAGCAGCATGCTCTGCAGGTTCGCCACCTGCGCATGACATGGCAGAAACCTCCTACTTGCAGCTGGGAGACTCCAGTGACATGTCCCAGGAAACGAAACTGCCAGACCATATTTGAAGCTTCCGAAAACAGGGGGTTGGGGGGTGGGGGGGTGGGGTGTTCCAAGAATATGGATGAAAGAAATTTTTGGGGGGTATGTCAAGGGGAACCCCTATTTCGGGGACCGCCCATGTCTTTCCCAAGGACAAAGAAGATTTCCGTAAACGGAGAGGCCTTGCTCTTCAGGCCGCTGAGGGAGTACCTGTCTCTTCTGTTTGGATTTATAGGGTTTAGGATTAGGGTTTGGGGTTTGGGGTTTGTGGTTTGCGAACCTCTCTGGCCCCAGAAGCTTATCCCCTCAACTTTAAGACAGATGCACTATAAACCCCAAACCGTAAATCTAAAGTAAGGTATCCCTCCACTCTTCCTCCTCTCGTCCAGGGGACATCTCGGTACCACTGAGGGCAGGCTTCGTGTAGGTGAACAGCGCAGGGTACCTTAGTATGGTCTGCTTAAGACAGGGTTGTTGCTTATACGGGTTTAAGGGTTTAGGGTTCAGAGGTTGACCAAATGTACACAGAAACTCTGTGATTGGTTCCTGTATTGCCATTGATGAATTTCAATTCTTGAACAGCAACCCGGAAACTGACCCAACCACCAACCCCTGACGTTGGAATAAAGTCCAATCCTAAAATGCGAAACCGTGCCGTTGGAACGGTGTTGGAGCCCTGTACTGTAAGTCAGCGCGCACCACCCTAAACCCGAAACCCTAAACCCCAACATCTCCAAAAACCCTGAAGCAACGGATTCGGGGCGCCGCACGAGGCTTCCCAAAACAAAAGGTTTGGTGAGGGCCCGAGGGGTGGGGTCTAGGGTTTAGGGTTTAGGGCTTTTTTAGGGTTTAGGGGTATGACTCGGTACAGCTTCGGGCTACTACCAGAACTTGGGGCGTTGGGGGGGAGGAACCCGGAAACCCTAAGACCCAAAACCCTGGAAAACACCCAAAGCCCTAAAAAGCCCTAAAGCACTCAAACCCAAAAAAACCAAACACCCCAAAGCCTCAAAGCCTTAAACCCTGATGAGTTAATAAAGCAAAAGCCCTAACCCTTTTGCATCCGGGCTTGAAAAGTCGGCCTTAAACCCTAAACCCTAAACCCTAAACCCTGAGCTTTGCGGGGTTACTGGCTTAAGGGGCGGGTCTCATGGGCGACTTGCTGCCCAAGAGCCAGTCATCGCATTGGTCTGGGAAGCCAAAGTCTTCCTCCGGTTTAGGGTTTAGGGTATGTTTTTTTTTCAGGTTTAGGGTTAAGGAGGGTTTAGGTTCTTTGTTTAGGGTTAAGTTTTTAGGGCTTAGAGATTTTGCCACCCGCACTACACATGCCACCCGGCACCCACTCTGCAGGGACAAGTCGAGGTAACTTGGTCTTCTTACATCCGTCAACCTATCCAGTTTTCCTTCTCGGGTTTCTTAGTTGTCCAGTAACCTCGGGGAACTAAAGGTTAACCTTTGGGACTATAAGGGGATTTTACTACCCCAAAAAGGTGAAAGGTTACCTACTCTACTACTAGGGATTAGCGCAAGTGATCTGCATCAACCCCCCCCTGTGCACCACGTTTGGGGTTTCTAGAACATCCGACTCACGAAATGAACGGCCGTGAGTCCAGATGGCGTTCTGCCGTGGCATCCCACCTAAGCCCGCGGCATCCCTCTGTTACACACCCTGTGTGGCGCAAACTTGTTTTCATGGGTACAGTATGTTGCAGGCCGGTCTTGGGGACCTCCCTGCAAACGAGGGGCTTGCCACGGCTGGGTTGTCGCAAAGAGAACGGTTTGTTGCAATCCTGTACTGTGTCCCCCCCAGCCTAGTTGCCCTGTCTGAGCCGCACCCAGATACTAGTAGTCACGAGAAAGCACCGACGACCGTGCAACCTCGCGAACGGCATGGCGTACTCTTCAGCCCACCATTGTAACCACGACTTGGAGACTTTGAAGCTGGCGGATAGTCGCTTGACGATCTAAACCCTAAACCACAGCCACGAGCTCATAGACTTTGCAGCCCTTGCTTGCAAGCCAACCCCCCAGCACAACCTCCACATACCACATAAAGCATCACCCGAGAGTTGGCGTTAGACGCTCAACCTGAACACCTAGTACCTGCAGATCGTATTGCAAAACAAAAAAACATACGTCATGATACGTGCATACCTTTGGAGAAACGGTCTTACACTTCTTAAACCTTCTACCAACTTCTAACAATATGGCGGGTTCACGAAATTAGGGGGTGCCTTATTGGGGTCCTTATTATAAGGGACTCCTACTATTTGAGGAAACCCTACTAAACCCTAAACCCTAAGCCCTAAACCCTAAACCCTACACCCTAAACCCACCCTAAACCCTAAACCCTAAACCCTAAACCCTAAACCCTAAACCCCAAACCTTAAGCCTTAAGCCTTAAACCCTAAACCCTAACTAAACCCAGAGTCGCCCCATTTTCGTCACCCCCTATGCCTCGCGAGCCGCGCCTCCTTGCCGGTGCGGAGGATGCTCACCAGGACCACGCCCCGGGCACCCAGGAGGAGGAACCAAAGGCCTGGCTAGGGTTTAGGGTTTGGGGTTTGGGGTTTATAAGGGTTAGGGTTTAGGGTTTAGGGTTTAGGGTTTAGGGTTTCGGGTTTAGGAACCAAAGCCCTGGCGAGGGAGAGGTGATGAGGGAGTTACCGAGGTTTAGGGTTTAGGGCTGAGGGATGTTCCCCCTTATACTAACAGTCCTTAATCGGGATTCTAATTGGGCGTACTAGAATCCCGATTAGGGACTGCTAGTACAAGGGGGAACATCCCAAGTGCTGGGTTGCTTGTTGCCGCTTTAGGGTTGTGGGTTTAGGGCTTGCGTAGGATTATTGCATCATGGTAGTACGTGGTTCAGGGTACGTAAACCCTATAAACTCTAAGCCTGAAGCCTGAACCGTTAGCAATAAAGTAGACCCCCTTAGGGCAAATCAGGGTTTTGGTTCGTTGTGGGTTTTAGGGTAAACCTTGGTTTCTAGGGCCCAGGTCTGAAACCTGCCAAAAACACACACCAAAAACCCACCCCCTAAGCCCTAAACTCTTACGAGCCCTTGTGCCATGCCAGTAAGTAAGGCTCATTTTGGGGCTCAAGGGTCTTTGCGGGCCTTCTGTTTTTTCTCAAACCCGGCCTTGCAGTCCGACGTCGTTCAGGGGCTCCGTCAGTGTCCAGTACCGTCCGAAGGCATCTCCCACATACCTAGGCTTAAGACTTCGGCCTTCGGTTTCAGGATCTCCCAAACGAAGCACAGGGTTTGGGGTGAGGGTTGGGGGGGGGGGGGTAGCGACGGGGGATGTATGGTAACCGAAATGCCTAGGCACAAGCTTACTTGGGGTCTTCTTGCTTCTGGTTCGCAAGAATGATGCCTCGTACCCTCACGTCCAGGCATCTTGAGTCGCAGGGCAAGGCGATCCCGACTACTTCCTTCAATCATGTGAGGATCCCGAATTCATGAAGCCTTCCTTCACAAAGGGGATTGGCGTTCTCTGGGGGTTCAGACGATGGGCCGAACCCCGAAACCCGAAACCTCCACACACAGTTTAGGGGTATGGGTTTAGGGTTTAGGGTTTGGGGATTACTTAGGGTTTAGGGTTTAGGGTTTAGGTTTTAGGGTTTAGGGTTTAGGGTTAGGGTTTAGGGTTTAGGGTTTAGGGTTTAGGGTTTAGGGTGTAGGGTTAGGGTTTAGGGCTTAGGGTTTAGGGTTGAGGGTTGAGGGTTTAGGGTTTAGGTTTAGGGCTTCCGATGATGATCTCACAAGACCGCAAGGCCCAGGTTGCGGCCCGAACTGCTTTGGGTTCAGAGCTCTGCAAGCACGGATGCCCCTGACTATTATTGTTCTTCTTGCTACCATTCTTAGCATTATTCTTGCCATTATTAGTACCATTAGTAATGTTGTTCTTCTTATTTGCTATTTTTTTTGCATCCGGACTTCTTACTGTCTCGGGTTCACCAGTGCAGGGCCGGGATGCCCCCGGCCGATCCGGAGCATGTTCATGAAGAAGGGCGTGTTGATGAAGCTGGCCAGCGAGCCTGGCGCCCTTAAACCCTTCAACCCTTCAACCCTTAAACCCTTAAACCCCTAAACCCTTCAACCCTTCAACCCTTGAACCCTTAAACCCTCAAGCCCTTAAACCCTTAAACCCTAAGCCCCTAAAGCCCTAAACCCCAAACCCTTTGCAGCAACCGGAAGCCGATCCTAAAACAGGGGGGGCCTGTTGTCTGGGCAAGTGGCATATTGCACTACACGAAGTGTTGTTCATGGATACTGTTGCTCATGTAGCAATATTTCAGACGGTTCCTATGAGTGCATAAAGGGAAGATATTGGGAGTTGCTTAGGCTCCTGAACTCAACAGCTGCGGAGACCACAACCCGTGTCCACAAGCACCTCGGTCTACCCTCCCCCTCAAACCACAATGGACAAAGAATGTCGCGACTGTTTTTCCTTTTGTTCAACTTTTTGTGTCTGGCGGAAGGATGCCCTGAGCCCTAAACAATTGGGGAGGATCCGATGCCCTGCATCGAGCTCCACGCCCGCAAGTCAAGTTGTCATAACCATAAAATTAAATATAGTAAGAGGAAAAAAGCAAACATCGCAACACAAACATACAATAATGTCATAATATGATATATATATATATATGTACAGGTAGGATACAATACGGTGTAGGTTTCAGGCCCGAACGTACCTTCTCAAAGGTCCAAGACTCACCGGCACATCCCCGAAGACCCCCCACCAGACCATCGGAAACCATCGGTTCAAGTGGCCGTGGTGCCGCACGAAGCGCAAGGCCACCTTGGCTTCGAAGCGGTGTGGGGAGGTCCGTATCTTCGGGGTGAGTACCCCAGCCCCCCCAAAAAAGGTTAACCCTTCTGATATATAGTAGAATTCTCCATAACCAAAAAAAGTAAGTTCAAAGGTTAACTACCCAGCCTAAGGTCTAGGATTCACCAGCCCATGAAAAGCTCCAAAGTGCGGCCTGGGTAGCTTCTAAGCTCGGCTTTCTGCGTGGGGTTGGGGACTTGGGGAGGTTTTCCTTCGGTTTTCTCTTGTCAAGAACATACCCCCAAAGTTTCCAAAGGTTTCGATCTCCAAAACTTCCCAAAACCCCTAAACCCCAAGCCCCTGACTTTAAACACTGCCGTGCCGAAGTGCCTGCTGCGCCTCCTCGGACGCTGGTGCATCTGGCTCCTTCACAACTCGTCAAGTAGGCAATTGGGTGGGTTGAGGGAATTAAGGAACTGCAGGGAAGAAGGTTTCTGTTTCTTGCACTTTAAGGGTAAGGATGTAAAGAGTGCAAGCCTAAGTTTTCCAGTTTTCCCGAACGGAGGATGTGGATGCTCCCAAGCCCTTGGCTTGAGCTGTTCAGCGCCTGTCCCAAACCCCGCAAACGGGGATGATAGGAGGGCAGGTGCAAGATGGAAAGCCTCCTAAACCCTTCTCAAGTCCATTTTCTTTTGCATCCAGGCCTCTAACAGGTTGCTGGGAAAAAAGCCCTAAAATAGCCTAAAATGCTAGAACCCCTTAAGCCCCAAACCTCAAACCCTAAACCCTAAAATATCCTAACATCCCTGAACCCCTTAAGCCCTAAACCTCAAGACAGGTCCTCCCCTTCTCGGCTCGCCAGGCGCCGCGCCACCAAGGCTTCTTGAAAGCTCAGGTGCCTTTAGCGGCTTTGGGGTTTAAGGCTTCGGGCTTTAGGGCTTAGGGTTTGGGGCCGGGTTTAGGGTTTTAGGGCTTCGGAGGCGCTTGAATCTCTGAAGCTCGGTTTAGGTTTTGGGTGTTCGGCTGCCACCGACACTGGCTTTAGGGGGTGCATGGTTTAGAGCTTTGGTGCTTTAACGCCATAAAGCCTCGATCAGCTGAGATGTGGCATCCCCTTAATATCCGGGCTTGCGCAAAATATAGCCCAAGCTATGAGGAGCTACAGATGTTCAGGATTGCGGGATTGGATGGTTGACTATGATCTAAGGTGCGTACTACCGTCACCTTGCTTTAACTAGCAGACTTCACTTTCCTGCACCAATGAGGTTGAAAGGTGTTTGTTAGGCACAGGCTAGGCTGTTCCTGCCAAGCACCTTGCCTACTAGGCACCTCTTGCGCACGCAAAATGTCTTTCGGTCATGGTGCCCCACGTGGACATCGCGTTCCCAGTTACCGTCTTCATCATTCAGGCTCAGCTGCTCTTTGTCATGAGGACAGGCAGCACGCAAGCCCCATTCAATTGTTAATGTCAGGTTGGCTTCTGGAGAGGTGTAGGGTGTAGGGTTTAGGGTTTAGGGTTTAGGGTGATGGGATCTGCGCGGGACAATGAAACCTTCTGAAACCCTAAACGCATCTGCAAGGCCCGAGGCCTGAATTGGAACTCGGCAGCATCGCCATCAGACAGGATCTTCACAAAAGGCACGTCGGCCCGCTCCCTCGGAGAAATATAGGGGTCGGAATGTTTACTGATCGTATTCCACTATGGCCCCGTATGATTCTACTAGAATAACCCCAAAACAACAACCTGCTTTAATTATTCAGGCCGCTCTCCCGTCTAAAACTCAAGGAGATGGTTGTTTGCGTGAATCGTGGGATTCACATTCAGTGCCCAATCCAAATCGGAAACAACAACCAGAGAGCTACCAACAAGAGACCATCCTAAGCAAGCCTGTCGGAAACTTTAGGGATTTGAGTCTGCTGCTCAAATCCCCCAAAGAAGTGCCTTGCCTGCCCCTGTGGTTTGCAAGCGAAGTAAATCTTACAACTCGGTATATTGTTTAGCCTCGATGTTCACGTGCTCTGGCACCGAGCCACACAAAGGTCAGCCACCGTTTCTGCAGCTCGGGCGACGAAGACAAGGCAACGTCCACATCATGCTGGGTGAAGATACCTGGGACTTCTGCTATGAGTGGGCTGCTCGGAGGTATTGTTCTATCCCTCCCATGCCGTGCCTCCCACAAAGCGCAATACTCTTTGAGTACGGAGCTTTGCCTGTATTGCATTACATTAAGAACCCTATGGAACAGTCCTGTAATGGTAAACGAGCAATTATTGGGGCTTCCTGGGTCAAACCCTTCAATTTTGCAGCCTAGGGGGCGTTTCTGCCTCAGATGGTTCTCCACCGCCACCTGCTCAGCCATGTGCTTAACTTAAGGCTGCAAAAGACTTTGGGATCCGTTTACCCCAAAACCCTAAAGCCTTCAAGCCCTCCCCCCTTTTGAACCTGGAAGCTGCTTCATGCCAGGACTGAAGCCCTCCCCCCTAGAACCCTAACCCTAAACCCCTAAATCCAAACCCTAAAGCCGAAAACCCTGATCCCAAACCCTAAAGCCGAAAACCTTGAACCCCAAAACCTTGTCCCCCAAACCATAATCATAGAGCCGAACACCCTTTTGCATCCAGGCTTGGGTGAGCGTGCCGGGAAAGAGCTCATGCTGCCCAGGTTCGTTGTAAACCCATCGCAGACAAGCACACCCTGAAACCCTAAACCCTAGTAGCCAAAAACTTACAACCCGGCGCCGCCAGGTTTCAGGGGATCTGGAGGCATCCAAACACTGATGCTCTGCTAGTGCATTCTCATACCTTACGTTGCAATTTGAAAACGGTGTTACGAATGAGATCAGCATACCGCTTGGTCCCATCATGCCTAGGTGCCCCCCGTGAATCGCCTTGAGGGGTTGAAGTGGTAGCGGGGGACTTGATCTAGGTTCTGCTCTTTTGGAGAGTGTGAGGTGCCAGAAGAAGGCCCGCTTGTTGGACTGCCTGTGTTTTGGGTTGAGAGAATTGAACAGAAAACCTTAATAAAACCCGAACCCTGACACCAGCCTTTTGCATCATATCCCAGGTGGCGGCGACTTCGTCCTCCTGCGCCTGTGCCGGCAGGAGCTGCGTCGGGAACACGAAACGCAAGAAACACATTTTGCACACGGATGTTGTGGAATGAGGGGTTCTGAGGCTCCAGTTCCTGATGGTTTCGGGGGACATCGTGCGTGGCACCGACTGTCGAGCTCTAGTCCTGTCTCATCGAACTGCATGAACTTTTGCATGCACTCAACCTGTTGTTGCCAGCAGGCCTGGTTCAGGCTGCTTCGCACCATGTTCCTGAGGCCCATATCCTGGGTCTGATTTTGACTCATGATTTGGGCTTGCAGGGCTTGGGTCGTGATGCCATGGGGCCTTGAGCTTCTGGGTTGAGGAGGAGGAGGGGAAGGCTTGGGGGAAAGAAGAGGGTGTGCGTGGGGTTGAGGGTGTCTTGTGTCAGGGCCCGGGCAACTTGAGGTCTGAATGCAGGGGTAATATGGGCTTTTGGGGCGTCGGGATCACGCCTGGCCACGCGGGTCTGCGTAGAGTCTTCAGTGACAAACAGGTCGAGAATGCCAACCCTGAGACTGCCTAGGGAAGGCGCCTAAGCAATTCCCAACACCATCCCCTCATAACCGCAACGTGGTTAGATATACATCTAGTACAAGCTACCCAAATATTGTACCCATTCTCAAAACTTCATTAAACCCTAAAGCCTTTTAAACCCTAAACCCCTGCACTATTGGGGCTCGTTGGGTGCCCACACAACACCTGCAACCCAAGGTGCATAGAGCTCGAACAGGTTGCTCGGCATTTGGTCTCAGTGTGGCCCAGCTTTCACAGGAGGGACACGGCTGAGGTTTCAGGGCGCAATAGTAAGATCCATGTCTTGCTGCTACGGAATGCGAGGCGCCAGGTGCACACTGTCCTCCCGGAGAATGGCTCAAACAATCACGTCCTAAACCCCCCACAAGAGCTTCAGAGATCCTCAAGCCCCTAATCGCAGGATGGGGCTTGAAAGCTTTGGGGATCTGAGAGGAAGCCTTCCCACTGTAACAAAATAGGGAGGCGCTTCCAAAATCCGCCCCATTCCCAGCAACCCAAAACCCTAGAAAAAAACCCTCCAAATTCTTTCTAAGCCCCAAAAATTCGGCCGGGCGGCTCGAGTGAAGGAGCGCCATGGTCATGACCGACAGGAGCACCGGCACTTCGGAGATTTCCTATGCAGCTCGTCTCAGATCCGAAGGCTCCCCCCCCCCTCAGAAACCCTCAACTATTCTCCTTTTAGAACCTTCATTCAAAAAAACATTATTGCTCATTCCCCTAGGGTTGTTGCAATAAAAACGCTTTCGACCTTCTGAAGCCTGAAAACTACACCCCCAAACCCCTGCCCAAGGAAATCAAAATTCGGGTGCCCCTGCCGATGCTTGTTGTAACTTTAAGGGATTCGGTCCCCGAAAGAATTTCCCCGCTTCCCCCCCCGCACCCACCCCCCCGCGGATCCTTGAAAAGCTGCATGCGCTGCTCCAGCATGAAGTTCAAGCCTAGGCGTGAGCAGGATTCCAGGTAGGGTTTAGGGGTTAGGGGCCAGGGGCCCTAAATAAGCAGCATCCTGAAACATCATGCAGCCTAGCTAGAATCTCCATTCTGATTTCTCTTAAAGCAAGAGGGAATGTGGGTCTTAGGGATTGCAAGGCCCAACATTCCGTTCCAAAGCTCAGGGCTTCTTGAGCTTAGACTCTTCAGGGCTTCTGGCCTAAATGGGCCTGTGTCCCAAACCCTAAAGCCCTCAGGAGAGTGAACCCGCGAATCCAAAACTGCGAGCAAGGGCCCACGGCAACACTGAAAAGATTGCAACCAAGCTGCGAAGTAAACGTAGGGGGTGGGGTTTGTAACCAAAAACCCTAAAGGCGTTTAGGGGGCAAAAGCTTTCTCAGAAGGCCCACAGCCTGGGAACCCTCAAGCCGGTTCCGACCATGTTGCTGTAATGACCGAAGCTGCCAACCCCTGTTTTGGGATTCTTTTGGGCTTCAAAGGGAGAACCTAAACTCCAAACAGGGAATAAGGCCATACTCTGGGTCCTATGTCAGGAAGCCTGCAATTCATGTCCCTACAGAAGGCGACCCTCGGAAAGCTGCCCTGTATACCCTCGCCTTGCACTTGAGAACTAGCGTCATCTGCCTGAAACCTTTCAGAGTTTTCACGCTTTTCGCGACTCGTATCTCCGAACACCCTGCTTCCTTCAACCTACGAGGCCAAAATCCAAACAGAACCCGTAACAGATCCATGAAAAGTTTCGCTCGCACCGTAATACCAAGCGCAAGCCTAGCAGCTGTTCTCCATCTCCTTTCCATAGGTATTCCGCAACCTTGCCAACGCAGGCTTAGGGCCTTCAGGAGATCTGCCCTTCCAGATCTTAGTTTGGACTGGTTTAAGGTTTAGGGTTTAGGGTTTAGAGTTTAGGGTTTGGGGTTTTGGGGTTTAGGGTTCAGGGTTCTGTGAAGCATCGAAGGGTTGCGCGTCTTTGGTGTTGAGGAACCTGCACCTGAGCCCAAGATGAATATATACGGTGCAAGACCTGGAGCACTGAAACCATCAGAGATGAGGCAACCCCAAACCCTGAACCCTAAACCCGAAACCCCAGCTCGAAGAGGAGACTCTGTGCAGCCACGCCACTCGCGCCGGAAATAGTCATAGAAGTCGTGGGCGTGGCTGACCTTGAAAAAACTGGCCGTGGAGCAGGAACTTCTTACACACAGGGTTCAGGGCTTAGACTCTCACACACGCGCAAGGCAGGCAAGGCTTCAATTTCCTGTATGCCAAAATTCGGGGCCCAGTGTGAAGGGTCTAGGGTCCAAAACCGGGCTCTCAGGGTCCAAAAGCCTTGCTTCTGATTCGACTGGGTCTTCCAAAGGCGTTCACGCTGCGCTGTAGCATGGGGGTGGTCGAGGTTCTGGAACTGAGGGTCTGTTCCCATGTGTCATCCCTAAACCCTAAACCCTAAACCCTAAACCCTCAGTGCAAGAGCGGCCTCATTGAAGTCCAGGATCATCCTCAGTCAGCTCAAGGTGCTTCATAGCAAGAGAGGCTTTGGGGTTTAGGGCTGCTTTTGGCACCCGCATAGCTTGGGGTTTAGGGTGTAGGGACCTTAGGGTGAAGGTTTAGGGCTCACAACTAGGGACTTGGGGAACCACAAGGATGCTTGGTGACAGATGAAGCCTGAGCGAGACATCACTCAAACGGTCTCATAGCGTGGCAACACAGGTCAAAAACCTCCAAGCCCCACAGGCCCCGAAACTCTAACCTTGCAGCTCCCCGTTATGGAGTCCTGCCAAACAAAATCAAAACCCCTTGCCGTTTTCGATATTAGGACTAGATGATTGGGGTCTTTATTTTTTGGGGGATAGTGCTATTTGAGGGTCTATATTCGGGGTCGCTTGCTATCGTAAACTTCTATCCGGGCCCTGGCGCTTATGATGGACCTGGAGCTCGACGAAGTGAGAGATGTCGCCACCTTGGTCTTCGGTTTGGAGGCTGTAGAGACCTGCACTTTGAGGCTGAAGACCACAAAAGGGTTAACCTTTTATATGTAGCAGGCTTCCATATAACCACAAAGGCTAAAGGTTAACTACCCAGTTCCCTGAAGCTTCTCACCTCCCACTTCGTTTGCTAAGAGGGCTTGGCGGTCTTGATTCGGTTTAGACTTAGAGGCTTAGAGGTTTTTTGGGGTTCAAGTCCAAGCTGCAGGACAGCTCCAGATTTAGCAGCACGTTGCGAAATCGCGATGGATCGCTGTCCTGGAAAGGCCCGGGGCTGAAGAAGGTGGTCTGCTTTGTCAAAAGGGCTTACATGGGCTGAAGAGGCTGAAAGAGAACTCGGAGGCCCCGGTAACAAACGGATGTTCCTGAGGTTGGCGTCATGGCCTTTGGGAAGCCGGGCATTACTTGCGGGTAGGAGCTTCGTTGCAAAAGAGCTGCGGCACTGTCGAGGCTTTCTTTTTAATTCGAGCGCTGCAGTCATATAAAGTTTCCAACTTTTTGCCGGTGCGCCGGAAAGAGCCTTGGCCCCTTCTGCGTTCACGAGGGCGGCATGTCGGGTTGGCCTGTGAGCACGGAGGAGTAGTAGTCGTTGTAGTCGAGGCGCGTCGCTAAGTTGCTCAGGAAGTGCTCATAGCGCGCCTTGGACTCCTGCTGGATCTGCCGCAGGAACGCCTGGAGCTGGCTCTCAAAGATCGTCTTCCACTTGGCCATCATCTTTGAGTATTGCCTCTGCGAGAGCAAGGACAGATAGCGCTGCGTGCTGTGCCGAGTCTTCGCCAGCCTCCTCTCCGCGGGGGTCTGGGTCTTTCCATCCGGCTCTTCCAGGGGCTCTACGCCAATGCTGTGTGAGAACCTGCGCAGGTTGTGGGCAAAGGTCAAGCATGTCTGCAGGACTTTGGAGAGATGCCTGTAGAGGTCTCGCTCCGTAAGGACAACTTCCCGCAAGCAGGCTTCCAGGAAGCTCTCATGGCAGTGGAGCACGTCATCGATGGTCTCTGCCTGCCGCAGTGTTGCAAGGAACTCATGGGACTTTGGCTCCAAGACCTCCACGGTGGCATAGTAGATGTAGTCCCGGCAGAAGTGCAGCATCCGTTGCCGGAGAGAGTAGTAGGGGCTGAAGGTGGAGTCGAGGCCCAAATCTTTGGTGCATTGGTGGTCCACCCAAACCTCCACGAGCTTGCGCTCGACATAGCGACAGTAGAGGAGGTGCCGGAAGATGACCTGATACTTCAGGAGGGTGGTGCGGGAGAAGAGGATGGAAAGCGGCCAAGCCGTGCGATACTTGAGAGTCAGGCATCTCACGCCCGAGCCATCGCTCCCCACGCTGGCAGGCGCAGATGCTGTGACACCCGAAATGGATGCTTCGTCCTTGTCTGGGTCTTCAGCGGAGCCCTTCACCATTCGGTGGCAGGCGTCCTCTACGCGGAAAGAGTGGAGCCCACAAGAGATGTCTTCGCGGTATGGGTCGGTTGCCAAGGACGAAGCACGCACGGCAAGATCAAGAAGACTGTCCAGCCGAGCCAAGGGTATCTCTTCTGCTGGCCGCTCCAACTCTCCTGCAGTATCCAGAAAATGCCCAAACCAGTCCGCCTTGCTCAAGAAGAAGAAGTGGCGCAATGACTTCAGCCGCCCCAGCAAATCCAAGCCTTCCGGCTGGGGCTTCATGAAGAGGTCGAGGAGTGCCGCGGCGGCTCGGCGATATGCCACATCAATGGCCTACACAAAAACTTTGGAACCCTAGCAAAAAATTGTAATTTCTTGCTGCTTCTTTTGAATTACAGTACCCAAAAAGTATTTAAAAAAAAAAAAAAAACCTGGCCTCTGCATAGTCTCGCCGTCGCCGGGAGTAGCGGAAGGGGGCCCGGCCGCCGATTGGCTCAGGCAACTGCTTCCCAGAGGCCGAGAAGTAGATGTGGAGATACTTGCCTCGGTCGGCCAGGTTGGCCCTTAACTTAAACAAACTCTGAGGAAGGGAACTTATGTCTTTAAACAGAGCCCTCACTGAAACCCTATAACCAAAACATGAAATCTTCCATGGTTCTGCCCAGTTGCCTGCATGGAGAATGCGCTCGCGTCCAGATGCTAGGAACTGGGGCACCGCCCGTTCGTCCAGAGTGAAATGCTTCTGCCAGAAATCGGCCGCTGGGCCGCCGGTCCGTTCATCACGGACACGAGGGCTCTCCGACACGAAGAACTCGCCATAAGGATCTTGTAGCTGGCCCTCATAGACCCACCTGGACACCATGTCAAAGTATGGCCGTGAGGCCTGCTGCAGCAAATGCTCGCAAAGATCTTGGGCGGCAGACAGGCTGGTCTTGGTCATCACCTCCTCCGGGGGTGGTTCCGGGAGCCCCATGTCAAAATTATGCCCACACTTTCTATGGGTCATCTCATGATATTCAGAGGGTCCCGAAGCCCTAAACCCTAAACCCCCCTGCAGTCCTCAATGCCGTTCAAGACCGCCCCACCCAGCTGACCAGACACGTGCGCCGTGACGCGGTGCAGCAAGGCGAAGGTATCCATAGAGGCCTGGCACTGGTACCTGAGTTGCTGAGTTCATAAGTGCCCCATCAAAAGTGCGCACTTCCAGTTCTGTAGGGTTTAGGGTTTAGGGTTTAGGGTTTAGGGTTTAGGGTTTAGGGTTTAGGGTTTAGGGTTTAGGGTTTAGGGTTTTTTGCCGCCCGCCTAGCAGACCCCCTCTGGGATCGTTTAGGGTTTAGGGTTTAGGGTTTAGGGTTTAGGGTTTAGGGTTCAGGGTTTAGGGTTTAGGGACTCAGCTGCTAAGGCACCAGAGCTCTGCCAGGCTCAGCTCCCCCGCGTGGAAGGACACCTCCCAGTGGGCCACCTGGGGGTTTACGAAAATGGGGGATTTTTAAAATAGACCCCTTTAGGGTTTAGGGTTTAGGGTTTAGGGTTTAGGGTTTAGGGTTTAGGGTTTAGGGTTTAGGGTTTAGGGTTTAGGGTTTAGGGTTTAGGGTTTAGGGTTTAGGGTCCCAAATAGTAGGATCTCATAAGGACCCCAATAAGGTACCCCCAAAATTCGGAAACCGCCACCTTGCTGGCAAACTCCCGCAAGAGCTCCCGCAGTGCTGCGCAGAGTGCATGGTTGACGGTGCCGTACTCGTACTTGCTGTGCTGCAGCACGAACTCTTGCCTGGGAAATGGCCCTTATAAAGCCCTCTGAGAAAATATTCCTGGAATAGGACCCTCTTCAACCCAATAGTCATAATAATAATTATAGTAATAATGATAGTAATAGTAGTAATAGTAATAATAAGAATAATAATAGTCATAATAATAATACGGGAAAATATAAAAATGTCCCAAGAGGGCCTACCTAGTTGCACGAAGGCGTGGTGGCTGCAGAGTGGCAGGAGCTGCTGGACAAACTGGGCCGTAGATGTATCGCCTCCCGGGGGCACCTCGACTTCAAAGAGGTGCTCCGTGGAACTGGGACCTGGGTTGTGCTTTGAACCCTTTGAGAATTATGTTTATGAATCCTTTTTTGTGCTTTAAACCCTTTGAAAAACATGTTTATGAATAGGTTCCCTTGTAAGGAAAGAAAGAAGGGAAATAGAAAAACTTATCCCAAAGCACAGCCCAGGGGCTCTTGCGAACAAAGGTGCCCTCCTTGGTAGCCCAGCAACCATATTAGAATAAGGGCACCCTTTTGGGTTACTTTATAAGGGGACCTTAAACCGAAAAGAAGGGAAAAGGGTACAACTGGGCTGACAAGCCTCAAAGCCCTGGAGACAAAACAGCAGGTCATCCAGGAGCACGCGCTCCTGCTCTTCGAAGGACTTGTTTCCGAAAAGCTCCCCTTCTGCTTCGGGCCCCAGGAGTGGGGGTGGAGGTGAAGGCGGAGGCAGAGAAGGGTACAAAGGCTCAGCACTGAAAGGGATGCCCGCCCGCACGATGCGGAAGCGAAGGTCGGGGACGCGAGCATTCCGCCCCTTGCACACCAGGCTCTTTCCAGATCTCCGTGCTTGGGGCACCTGGGTTCCCCAAAGGGAGCGGCCCACGGAAAGGCAGTCATTGTACTTCCCACGCAGTAGCAACGGCATGTCGCACTGCAGTGGCTTCCCCGATGTCTCCCCATCAGCATGCACAAGGGTCCATTTGCAGGCATCCGGGACTTCCCCCTGCGTCACGTCCCTGCGAACGACTGGGTCCATGTCGCTGCTGTCCAAGTTTGGCTCCAAGGCCAGGTATGCGAAGCGATCCTTACGCCTCTCTCCTCGCAGTTCTCGGACAAAGCAGACCTCATCACCGAGGTGGACGATGCCCCGGTGCTTGTGGCTGCTGAACTGCAGCACGACCCACTCCTTGGCAGCCCAGTCTTTTTGTTTGTGTAAAGAGGCACTCATGTTCACTTGAAGCATCAGCCCCTGCGCAAGGATGACACGCTGAGCGCGTCCACTGAGGTCTTAACCATAAACTATGCCAACGATGTTGGCTCAAGTCTCGGAGCAAATGCACGGAGTGCAGCTTGGTTTTCGGGTTCTTTCGGGTTCTTCCGGGTTTTGGGGTTTGGTTTCCTCTTCCCGGTACCCTAGTCCCACCCCCTGTCCTGGTACCCTAGTCCTGCGACCCAGTCCAGGGTGTGAAGGGTGCGTTCGTTCAGGGGTTCAGGGCTAAGAAGGTGGTTGATGGTTGAGGTCCAAGCGGAAGAGATGGCGGGGGATACTCGTGATTTATCTAGGGTTTTGATGAACGATGTTCCTCTCCAGATGTTGCCTCAATCTCCCACTCCATCACACTTCAGCAGAATCACCGAAAGCAGCCCTGACCAACATCAGGTTATGAGCCCAAACGCTCCAAGCAATCCCGCAGAAGCGCAGCAGCAGCAGCAGCATCAGCGTTCCTCACTTTCTGTCTCTGGCCAGGGCACACAAGTTGGGGATGTTGTCATGAATACGCCAGGTGCAGAGTTCCTTGTCCGTCAAATGAACGAGATTAGATCTGCAAATGGTGACGTGGTCCGAATGATGCGACAGTTAGAGGGAAATCATTGGGATCTTATTGCTATGACTGGTATGGATCAAGTGCAGCAGAACCTTGAAGGCATTCGTCATGAGATGGAGCGTCGCACAAATCTGCTGGGCACTGGCCTGACAACCACTGTTGCTGGAATAGAGCAGCTGCGCGACGCAGCGTTGCAGAGTCGCCAGGCTTATGGCCAGGCGAGTGAAGCATGCAGCACCTTGACAAGTCAGATGAATGAGCTCGCTACAGCTGTGAGACATTTGAGTCAAAGGGTTGATGACCTAGAGGGCCAGGTGTTTCTTCAAGACGCTGTGAGCAAGCAAGTGAATGAGATCCGTGATCGTATAGCCGCATTGGAGTTTCAAGCTGTAGCTGGAGGTGAATGGCCTGAAGCTGAAAGGAAAATCTTCCTGAAGGAGCATAAGCTACAATCCGACAAGACTTCATTGTGCATTCACGATCTACAAGAGCAAGTGAGACAGCTCAATGAGAAAACCCAAGAAGAGAAGCGAGGTTCCTCGACACAGTTGGCGCTTGTCCTTGAACGTGTGGTTGGCGTTGAAAAGATTTGCAAGAAACTTCGTGAGCGTGACGAGGAGATCCAGGGTCACTTGAGTCACGTAATACCGCAGTCTATTGCTTCGGACGCAGGACCCCAGCAGGAAAGCCAGGCGCCAGCAAGCCTTGGGGAACCGCAGACTTTTTCCATTGGAAGTGGGACGCCGCTTCAGGTCAATGAAAGGTCTGGTGAAGATGACTGGTGGGAGGCGTACGATGACAGACCAATCAGCTCTTGGTTGACAAAACCGCCGGGCCTTCCCATGGAATCAGCCTGGATGAATGAGGGTTGGGGTGCCAATGCCTCTACTCAGCCGCCTCCCCTTCCCAAAGAATTTCGTAGCTCGAGCCAGGATGGTTTCCATCTAGATGGACATGAGCTGAGAGTTGCAGGGGGCCAGTGGAAGTTGATGAAGGAGTTCCCGAGGATTCTTGAGCCGCGAGGTCAGGCATGGGAACGAGGCCTCCAATTCTCGCAGTATGCTACCGAAATGGTGTCCGTTGCATCGTGTATCGGTGCTGGGTTCGGAAAGTTCGTGAGGCACCAAATCGATGCAGCGTTGGGGCGCTTTCAACGGCGCATGGATGCCGGGGTTCATGACCCCGATGTCCCCCCTGTTGCCAGCGGATGCGAGGAGTTTGAGAGCAGGTTGGCTATGACTTTGCTTTCGCAGACGAGTGATGATATCAAACGAGGTGTGATTGAGTCAGCTGCGGGTCAAGTGGTTCCTTCATTAACGATCCTAGAAGCGATTCTTGAGCGCTACCAACCTGGTGGTATTGAAGAGAAGTCAAGCCTGACGTCGTTTTTGAGGAACCTGCCGCAGGCAAATACTTTCACTGAGTGTTTGGCAACACTTAGAAGGCTAAAGCTGGCTACATCCCGGATTCTTGTCCTTGGTTTGCCGAGTCATCCTCCACATGAAGCCATTTCTTCCTTGAACCACATGGTGAAAACTCTAGAAAAGAAGAGTCCCACCCTGAGTACGCGCTTGAATTTGCTTCGTCTTCGTCCTGAGATCTTGAATCCCACCGAAGAAGGTGTGAGTCTCCTGCAGACGGCGATTGAGGCAGAAGCACGGCGACTGGCAGCTGAGGAGTTCTCTAAGCCACATCACCCGAAAGGTTCTGATGCTGGAACTGGAGAGTATGAGATCACAGCTGCTAAGGGTAAAGGGAAAGGCAAGAAAGGAAAACCAACAGGTGATACCAAGTCAACTCCATGTGCATTCTTTAACACTGAGCGAGGGTGCTTGAAGGGAAAGGATTGCGAGTATTGGCATGGTGATCCTAAGGGGGCAAAAGCCAAAGGCAAGGGCAAGGGCAAGGAGGATTCAAAGACAAGGGCAGCGGCCAAGGAGGCTGAAGCGAAGGCCAAAGAGAAAGCTGAAGCAAGGGAGGCAAAAGCCAAAGCCAAGGCCGCAGCAAAGGAAGCAGCAGCAAGAGACAAACCGGACCCCAAGGCAAAGCCAGGTGCTAAAGCGAAGGCAGCAGCACTTGTTGGAGCTGAGGCGAAGTCTGCTACATGTTATCGAGTGTGTGCAAACATGGCATTGCGTGAGAACGATCAACCTTCTGACGATGGTATCTCTTCCTCTTCAGAGCTTTCCGAACTGGATGGTGTTAGGAGCGATGACCTTACTCCGAGTGAATTCGGGGACGAGTTTCAGGAGGAGAGTGACGACGAGCCAGGTCCATGGATGTGGAGCTTGCGCTTGACGGGTTTGGAGTGGAAAATGTGGACTCACCCAGGCAACATCGTCACCAGGGCGCATGCGGAGTTTGAGCACATTGATGATTATCGCAGTGTGGAGCATGGAGCATGGATTCTGCATAGGGCTGGGCAATTAGATGAGCTGCCGGCTGTGTTGAATGATGAATGGACCGTCACTGCTGTACACAATGTGTTGGTTCTGGATCCGGTCACTAGAGTCTTCAAGGGGGCCTTTGCCTTCGAGCTTGAGCGTGTAGATGTCCAGTCCAAGCTTCGTTTTGTGGTAGCGGTGGAAAGAAATCAGCCGTACGTAGAGCCATGGCCTGAGGATGTATGGTTTAATGAATGCATGAGATTCGGCTTCGGGGCTCCCACCGGGCATGTTAGGGACCGAATTCCACTAGAGGAAATGTTGAATGGTCATGGATTTGGTCACCTAGCTGAGACCCTGGGTTTGTTGGGTGCCGAGTTTGCTGATGATCTTGCCTTCCTGAGTCCTCGAGATTTGGTAGAGAATGGCATTCAACGGCAGGTTGCTGAGGACCTGTTTCAGCATGAAGGTGTCCTGTATGAAGTCCACGCCTCTACGGGAGTCCAGGGTGTTCGGCTGGAAGAAGAACAGATTGAGGAACTTGCGTTCTCTTTATATGCATCTTGGCAGGCGGGAGAACCGGTGAGTGATGAAGAGTACGACCCCGAAGTCCAACAAAGATTCCATGGCATGGTGCGTAGGCGGCGCCAAGGTGCTGCAAACATGTGTTGTGTCTCGGGCAATCGTGTTGAGAGTGATGGTTTTGTTCTCGTTGACAGCGGGGCCAACGAAGTGCTCCGTCCACAGACTAAGCGGCAATCCTCATTAGGTGAAGAAACGCTTCAGGTCACTCTCGCGTCAGGGTCGCAGTGCGCAGCCACCTTGAACAAACATGGAGAGGTGTGCATGATCTCAGAGAATGGAGCCAAGGGAGAGTGGATCGTTGGAGTTAGGAAGATCATCGACATAGGAGGGGCTTTCAATTGGGACCAGAAGGGCGCTAGAATCTCGTACCCACATCCTTTCGAACACGCTAGGATTGTGAATGTTGACTGCGTTGTCACCAATGGCCTACCGTACATGAGATGGTCTGATTTCAAACTTGCGCGCATTGCACTCAGCAAGCATTATCGGATGCAGCAGAAGAGCATTTGCAGTCACAAGGTTGTCACTGACATTCCCGAAATCCCTGTGATTCCCCCGGAGAGCCAGGTCATTGACTGGGTTGATGTGTTGGAGTTTCAGGAGGAGTCAGGGGATCACATTCAGGGATGCAAGGCTGTCGAAGTAATAACCAGTGAATCCTTTGCCGAAAAACTGCTTGAAAGGGATCATGTGGAGCATCATGAGGTTTTGGCAGCTGTGAAGATGGCAGATCTAAAGCCCTTGATCCTTCGTAGGAGCTCTAAGGTGGTAGGAGAACCATCGGTCGCGAAGCTGTGGGTCTTCGGGTCCTATGTTAGGGGCGGTCTGTGTGGAATCACGCGTGTCACCAAGCAGCACCCTTTCCTCACCAAACTTGCCACTAAGTTTATGAAGCAGCACACTGAGAATCCCTTTATGGCTATTGCTATAGCTGAGGATGTAGCTTTCAAGCCGCACCGTGATCCAAACGACGGCTCATTTGATTCCACGATTGTAGGTCTGAGTAGCTTTCAGGGCGGCCATCTGTGGACTGAAAATGCATCGAGTGACCTGGATGAGGACCAGGCAGTGTGGCGGTACACAGAAACGGATTCCGCACCTATTCCTGGAAAGCTCCACAGACTCGACGATGGTAGAGCAGCTTCTTTCTGTGCCACTCGTTGGCACGGTACAGAACCCTATGTTGGCAACAGAGTAGTGATGATTTCATACATCCCCAAAGGATGGAAGGCCATCGATTTGAACATGCGATGTCGACTTGAACAGCTGGGCTTCCAACTGCCACGTCAGGATCTGGAGACGAGACTTTGCGCAGCCAGTGACGCAGATGTTGCAGCTTTCAAAGCTTTGGTTGCTCAGTCGTCAGAGGTCTTCTTGAACCCTGGAGCCGCAGTCACACTTGAGGAGCGAAACACACTTCAGCATGACACATA